TTCTACCTGGACACTGAGGTCCAGCACCGAGGGCCTTTTGGCGGTTCCCTCACTGCAAGAAGCCAAGTTACAGGGAACCAGGCAGAGGGCCTTCACAGGAGTGGCACCCGCCCTGTGGAACGCCCTACCACCAGATGTCAAAGAGAACTACCACCAGACTTTTAGAAGACATCTGAAGGCTGCCCTGTTTAGGGAAGCTTGTAATGTTTGATGTAGTACAGTATTTTAATATATTGCTGGAAGCTGCCTAGAGTGGCTGGGGAAGCCCAGCCAGATGGGCGGGGTATAAATAATAAATTATTATTATTATTATTATTATTAATCCAGGGCGGCTGGGATTCTGCCTCGAAACAGCTCATGGCTGACCCCCTATGAGCAAAAAAGTTGGCGTCAGTCGAGCAGCTGTAACCAAATACCCGTATTTCTGAGAACTCCTCAACTTTAAGAGAGGTCTTTGCCATGTTCCACAGCAGAGGGTGTCATCTTCCGCTCTTGCAACTTGCAAAAACCACAAGCATTAGAACACCCCCCCCAAGTGCACGCTATACTTTTAACAGCTGCAGATTTAAGTGTTTCTATCCTGTGTTTCTGGCTGCTCTGACTGTTCCCGGATTTTAATTTCTCTTCTTGTTGACAACCACCAAGAGGACTTGTGTTCTAGGGCAGCCTATAAATACTGTAAATAAATATTGCATGCAAGAGGAACTGGGTGGCCAGCGGGGCAAGGTTTTGGCAGCTAGTGTAGAATGTAAGAGAGCAGGCTGCAGATCAACTCTCTTGGGCAGCTGCCCCCAACTTGGTGTGCTCCAGATGTTAAAGAGACTTCCAGCTCCCATTGTCTGCAGCCAGCACAGCTCTAGCTAGGTCTTGCAGACAATGTTGCACTGAAATGCAATTTGGACTGGCTCATCCGCAGCTAAGTGTATGCAGACACACACAGGGACACACAAATGCCCGCAGGATCAGGCCAATGGCCATCTAGTCCAGCATCCTGTTCTCAGTGTGGCCAACAAGTTGCCTGTAGAAAACCCTCAAAGGCAGGATCTGAGAACGAGAGCAACTCTCCCCTCTTGTGGCTTCCAGCAAGTGTAATTTGGATGCATTATTACATCCAGCTGTGGAGGCACAGCAAAGCCATCAAAGCTACCAGAGAAGTTATAGCCCTCTCCTCCATGAAATTGTTGAATCCTCTCTTAAAGCCATCCAAGTTGGTGGCCCTCATTGCCTCCAGAGGGAATGAGTTCCATAGTTCCTACTATGCGTAGAGATTAGAAATTGTTGTATCTGTTCTGAATTTTCCAACGTTCAGTCTCATTGGAGATCAACCAGTTGCAGTGTTATGAATGGGAAATACTTTTATCTATGCCATGTATTATGTCATAAACTTCTATCCTGTCCACTCTAACTCACCTTTTGTCTTAACTAAAAGTCCTGAATGCTGCAACCTTTCTTGCCATTTTCTGAACCATTTCCAACTCTTCAATATCCTGTTTGAGGTGAGGTGACCAGAAACACAGTATTCCAAATGCAGTTGCACCATGGATGTTTGTAACGACATTATATCAACCATTTTATTTTCAATTCATTTTCTTAATGACCCATAGCATAGAAATTGCCTCAGCTGCCACGCACTGGGTCAATGCCTTTATCAAGCTACCTACTTCAACCCCTAATTTTTATTTGTGGTCACTGCCAATTCAGACCCCATGAGCATATGAAATTAATATTTTTTGCTCCAGTATTTTATCACTTTACACTTGTTTACTGTGGATTGTGGGACGCAGGTGGCGCTGTGGGTTAAACCACAGAGCCTAGGACTTGCTGATCAGAAGGTGAGCTCCCTTTGTTCGGTCCCTGCTCCTGCCAACCTAGCAGTTCGAAAGCACATCAAAGTGCAAGTAGATAAATAGGTACCACTCCGGCGGGAAGGTAAACGGTGTTTCCGTGTGCTGCTCTAGTTCGCCAGAAGCGGCTTAGTCATGCTGGCCACATGACCCGGAAGCTGTACACCGGCTCCCTCGGCCAATAAAGAGAGATGAGCGCCACAACCCCAGAGGTGGTCACGACTGGACCTAATGGTCAGGGGTTCTTTTACCTTTACCTTGGATTGCACTTGCCATTTTATTGCCCATTCAGCTTTGGGAGGTCCTCCTGGAGCTCTTTACAATCTCTTTTGCTTTAATGATCCAGAACCATTTAGTATCATTTGCAAACTTGGCCACCTCACCGCTCACCTCTTTAGATCATTTATGAATAAGTTAAATAGCACAGGTACCAATACTGATCCTTTCTACTTCTCCGCATTGTCTATTTGTTCCTCCTCTACTTCCTGCAACTTAGCCAATTCCTGATCCATAAAAGGACCTCTCCTCTTATTCTTTGACCGCTAAGCTTACTCAGGGGTCTTTGATGAGGTACTTCGTCAAAATGCTTTTCAATGTCCAAGTACACTGTGTTAACCAATCTATACCCATATACTTGTTGACACTGTCAATGAACTCCAATAGAATTGCGAGACAAGATCTTCCCTTGCAGAAGCCATGCTAGCTCTGCTTCAGCGAGGCTTGTTCTCCTCTATGCTTGGCTATTTTATCTTTAACACTTTCCACCAGTTTTCTTGGGGCAGACAGTATGCTAACAGCATTCCCCCTGCATCCTTTTTAAAAAAAACTAGTGTTACATTGGTTACTTTCTAGTCCTCAAGAACGGAGGGGACAAGTTATATACTTTAGACAGAAGATCAGCAATTTCACATTTGAGTTCTTTTATAACTCTTGGGTGGATGCCATCTGGACACAGTGATTAATCTTACTGTAAACAAGTGGTACAGTGACAATAAAGTATTTCTATTTCTATTTGTCAATTTTCGTGTTGCCTACTAGGCTTAGAGCATCATTTCTCATCACAACTATCTGCCCCAGTTCCTTAGACTCGCCTCCTGCAAAGGTTAGGTTTAGGCACTGGGATCTGCCTGTATCTTTGGTTGTGAAGAGAGAGGCAAATAATTCGTTCAGCTTTCTTTGCCATCTCCTTACCCTCCTTTCGCAGTTTTTTGGCTCCCTTGTCCTCCATTTCCTTCCTTTGCCCACCCAGGATCAATGGAAGCAACATAAAGAACGCGGCTGCTTCTGCTCAAAGCAATTAAGTCAAATGATGCTTTCCAACGCAAGTAGCTCCAGGCTTATACCAGGAGCCCATGGAAGTGGCTCAGCGATTACAACCTTCCGAGGAAAGCTTTTACCAATTTAATTTGTTTTCAAAAAGTTTCCCCAAGGGGAATTTGCTGCATTCGCCCATGGGGAAAAGAGACACTCACATCTTAAGCTGTTCCAGCAACTGTGAAACAAAACAACCGAACGAGGCGGTCCAGTTAAAGGGACAGGGAATATCAAAGCAAACAGCCATTTCAGGTAGTCACTGCATTTTATTGGAAAACATTGATATAATTTTATTTTCACAGCTTGAACTGAACACAACACCACCTGCTTTCAAAGACATTCTTGCTCCAACCTTCCCCACGCCCCCTGCCTAAGTTCTCAGGTGAGATCCCTCCACCTCTGCTCAACACAGGAGTGCAGAAGACAGGAAATAATAAGAGGGGGCGTGGTCAAATCCGCCACGGACTGCGCAAAGCACTCTTCTTTCACCCGGTTTCAGGGAAATTCTGCAGCTCTGTTTCGATTCCCCCTCCAAAACTGTTTTTTTTTTTCTCTTCTTCTTTATTTATTTAATTTTTTGGGGGGGGATTAAAAAATAAAAGTGAAAAAAAGTAAAGAGAAGCAAGTTTGCGGCCCATGCTGTTTTGCCGCGAGGAAAGGGGGGCGGGTGGGGACGGGCGGAGTTAAGGAAGCAACATTGAAAGAGCACAGACACCGAAGCGAAAGGTGCGGCACAAGCGTTAAAACCGAGAGAGCCACTACGAAAAAAATGAAGCGTCGCATGAGGAAGGCGGGGGCGGGGAGGAGGAGGGAGGGAGGGAGAAGAGGGCGTTCTGGCGCAGTTGGCATTCACTCAGCAGCGGCTTCACTGTTTTATTGCGGTTCCGTTCCGACGCCTCCCCCCCTCCCAAACCCTTCAAGCTGCCAATCAAAAGCATTCGCCGTCGCCATACGCGGGGCGACCCCCCCTCCCCGCAAAAGGGGCCTGTAGCGTCAGGTATTTACATAGCAGCTCCAATGTCTGGACACAACGCTTAGGAAACTGTAAGGACATTTACAATTTATACAAGGTTAAGAACAAAGACAGAAGTTAAAATTATGGGCGGTTGGTTCGGTTTTGCGTGTGTTTTTTTTCTTTTTTCTTTAAAGAGCCAATCGGACAGTTGTCGGACGCTCCCCCCTCCCCCTCTTTTTAACAGCCTCTTCTCCCCACATCATGCTGACGGAGCTCTCTGGAACCCGCCTTCAGCCACAGGCACCCCGGCGGTGGGATAGCGCCCCCCCTCCCACGAAAACGAAGGGGGGGAAAACAACAGCCCAGTTTCCTCCTTGTACCCCTCCTCGGTGTTCCCTGGGGCAAGACCTTCGGTGGCAACCGCCATGTCAATGCGCACGACCACAGTGCCAGACACATGCAACACGATTAAGAAGGTTTTTGCGCTCTCTCCACCCCCGTCGTGTGGATTCTTGAAAGAAAGAGAAAGATATCTGCGCCCTGGGAGACAGGCCAGCTCTGGCTGCAGAACAGAAGACCCGATGGAAACAAAAGACATCCACAAGGTTGGAGGTTCTCGGGGAGGTTTTTTGGGGGGGATGCACCAGAAGAGGTGGAAGGAAGGAAAGGCGGGGAGGGGGAAGGAGGGAGAGCAAGAAGAAGGAGGGAGAGATGAGTGCAATCATGCAGCTTGGGGAGTTTCTTTTTTTTTCTTTTTAATTGCTTGGTCAGATTTATTCCACAGCCGATTGTTTTGCTTAGAGAACCAGGTTACTTAAGTAGAGAGAGTGTGTTGGAGAAAAGTATCGAAGGAGAATGGGCATTGCCAGCCACCCACTCTGCGGGCTTCACTTTGCAGTCATCATCTGCACAAACTCTGCAAGAGACACAGTGTAAGGAAGCAAAGTCAGTACGGCGGAGCCCACACCCTTTGAAGCTGGAAGACTTGAGATCAGCTCCCTAAACTAGACATCAGCCCAGTCAGCGGTCACACAGTTACTTCGGCTTGACATGATTTGACTTTTACACTCGATGTAGTTTTCAAAAGATAAAAGCAAACAGAGCTGTGATAATGCTGTGAACTGTGTCTGCTCCACTCTCATACTGCCTTCATCCAGAGAAAACTACCAGAGGGGAAGTCAAGGGTACCCCCGTCACTGAACACGACCTTAATGTGTACCCTGCTATACTGAACAATGTGTGAAGAGTACCATAGGCTTCAAGAACCGATGAAAAATCCCCAGAATAGTACCATCAAAATTTGAGGGGAAGGGCTAAGAAAGCCCTGGTTCTATCCAGCCAAGGAAGGCCTATAAAAAAAGCAAACTTCAAAGCCTTTGAATATGTTTTGCTTATATGTGGACCTCACTGACGGACTCGGGAGTATTAAATTTGAGGTTATTTCCACACAGCTCAAAACTAAAGTGTGATACATAATCCAAGGCATCTCCCCCTCAACAGGATATATAAAAATGGTTACAGTGCTTCCACGCCACCCAGGTGGCTGAAGTCAGCGACACAATTACTGCCTTCAAAAACCAGAAGAGGTCCCATACAGTTCTTTAGAGACCCTCTGCCGAAGCAGAACCTCAATTCTTTCATGCAACGTTCTGGCTGCCAAAATGGCAGCAGGCAAGATGCTGATCCCATCCCCGACTCACCTTCATAGTTGACCTGCCCGTCCCCATCAATATCTGCCTCCCTTATCATTTCGTCCACCTCCTCGTCAGTGAGCTTCTCCCCTAGGTTTGTCATCACGTGGCGTAACTCTGCTGCGCTAATGTAGCCATTCCCATCCTGGAAGCAAAGGAATCAGTTTAGCAGGGAGCAACACAGCAAGGCAGCACCTTCCACTTTTATCCTGGCAGATGGCGTTTCCTTCTCCATTCTGTATGTTCCAGATTAAGGGAAGGGGGCACTGCTGTTTCCTTGCCATTCTCCCTGAGAGTATATAGGGATGCATGGCAGTGTTCTGTCCACTCTCCTCCCTCCCCTCCAGAAGGCGGGTGGTCCTTCTCTACTTCCTCACCTTATCAAACACTCTGAAAGCCTCTCGGATCTCCTCCTCGCTGTCTGTGTCCTTCATCTTCCTTGCCATCATGGTCAAGAACTCTGGGAAGTCAATTGTGCCGTTCCCTGAAAACAGAAATGAGCACCAGTAAGATGAAGCCAGCAGAAACCAAAACAGCTGCAGACTGGGATGCCGAGACCAATCTCAAATAGCCACCCTAGGACAAAGCCAGCCTGGGAAGACTGAAGCCCCGCTTGAAGGGAACCGAACTAGCTGGTGGAATGTGTTGGAGTTGGACACATTATGGCACAAAAGGAGTTCCACACCCCAGCACTGAAACTAGTGCCTGCTAAATGGTATGCCTGTGAAGCAATCACAAAGAATATCTCAAGATACTGCAGGCGTTACCCAACTGTTGGTTTTTTGTTTTTATTTTAAGCATCTTGGACAGTGCAACCTGGAAGGCAGTATATACACTGAAAAAAGTGAGCGGTATTTTCAATACATTCATGTTGCGCCCTTCTGTTATCCCTGGAAGGAAATAGGGTGCTACTTCCAATTATTGCTATTACTACTACAAAAACTATTGGCTTTCTGGGTCCTTCACAAGCCTTGACCCATCCCCCACTCCACTGTCAGCTAGTACCCCGTCAGAACCAGTCCCCACCACTGCATTCATTGGCAACTTAATACATAGGCCAGTCTATGTTAGTCTGGCAAGATCAAATAAATCAATACCCCCCTTGCTTCTACCTCTTGCTTCTACCTCTCAGTCACAAAAGGCAGGGAAACAGCAGGGATGGGTGGATGTCTAAGCACAGGAGTCAGAGAAGCTCGGTGGGAAAGGTAAACTGTTCCTCTCGTCCATCAAGAATAACGCTTGCTCCCCAATCTAAGCAACCCCCACTGAATTTCTGCATAAAGTACTGGCAGAAGCCATGGGTTTTGGATCACTTACTCTGCCCAGGCCCCCTTAGTGCTGGGGCCACTTACCATCAGCATCAACTTCATTGATCATGTCTTGCAGTTCTGCCTCGGTGGGGTTCTGACCCAGAGACCTCATCACAGTGCCAAGCTCCTTGGTGGTGATGGTGCCATCCCCGTCCTTGTCGAAGAGGGAGAAGGCCTCCTTGAATTCTGCAGGGGGAAGCAGGGTTGATGTAAGCTACATAGAGATCATGTACTTGCAACCAGTGATTATCCTGGAAGTCTAGCCAGCCCCATTCCAAAGACTTGGGAGAGAGGGGAGCCAAGTGAGTCTGGTGATGTATTTGAAATCCCCAGTGCCTAAAATGCTGGTGGCAGCACAAGCCTGTTCACATTTTCCCAGGGATTTGTTTTGATCTTTTGTGGCCTTGCCCTCACATCACCACCCAAACCCTGCAGATGGGGAAATTATCTCTCCTAAAGAACTGTAGTAAGGATTCTGCACTTTAGGGACTACCAGGGGGGAAAAATCCTCCTTCTCTGCAAAGAAGCTCACAAGCTGCCCCTCACCATGTGCATTCTGGCTCAATTTGAGCAGTAGTTAACCCAGCTTCAAAGCCAGTAGACAAGGGGGTGTACTGCTCGTCTTCCCTCAACGTGCAGATCAATTCAGTGCCAGCCGAGTTAATATTTACTGCCACTGTATGCTGAGGACTCACCTGCAATCTGCTCTTCGGTAAGTTGGTCAGCCTGAAAGAAGTGAGAGAGAAAAACACATATAAAATGAAGAGTCAAACCTCTCTACATCTCTTATCAGCCTCCCTGGTGGGGAAGCAGCAGAGCCCATGCCATTTTCCACATTACCTGTAAGCCCCCAGCTCAGGTTTGCACACCTTGTGACCTACCAAGCTAGATGCAGTCCACCTGCAGTATCCAAAGGGTCTCCTGATGCCAACCTCCTATATGTGGCTGCATTTGGATTAACCCCCAGCCTCAGTTCTGCAATTCAGGGCTACAGAGCTGAGATTGTAGCAGCAGCCCAATCCACAGACGGTGAGAAGGGGCTTCCAAGCACACCACTCCTCATACCAGGACGGGCCACGGCCTCTAAGCCTGTCCATCATTCTATTGCTTCCTCCCTACGGTTGTCACTGCTGCCTTCCTTCACCCTGGCTCTCACCAAGAAGTCTTAAACCTGGAGCTATGCACATCCCCCATAATATGGCACAATGCAGAAGAACTGCAGGTGGACGGCGACAGCTGCATCATTGGAATAAGCAGGGCAAAAGATTCCTGCATTGCAGGGGGTTCTCCTAAATGACCCTCGTGGTCCCTTCCAACTCTACAGCGCTACGATTTTAAGTCACATGGAGAAACCTAAATGTTTCAGAGCAGGATAGGTGGGTCCTGAACCTCACCGGTTAGCCCGCTTCATTAAACCCCTCAACAGCCAATCTATGCCTGCTTTGCTGAGCACTGACCCAGAGGATTGTGTCCTCTTTAAAGGGATGACCCTGGTGAAATAATATTCTCCTTCCTCTTTCTGCTGGCTTTCAAAAATTGTCAGGAAGGAGCAAATAAACAATTAAGAGCAAGTCAGGAGGATTTATTTTTTTTAGGTGGCTGGATTCTTCATCAAGTAACTTACAGCATCTGCTGAAATACCATAGAAGTTAAGCCCAACACTCTCAAGCCCACTTTTCCCAAGCTTTGCTCTGAGCTAGACATGCCCAGCCCCCTTCTGCATCATGCCTATGTTTACAGGAGGCACCAAAAGGCCCTTGAAGCCATGCCAGTTTCAGGAGCGGTGGCAGCACCCACCCACCCGTTGGCCTCTCACAAGTCAGGGTCTGCAATCTAAGCCACAGTGTATCATGACCAGGAAGCAGATGCACAGCAAAAGGTGCAGACAGAGACCAACAGTGCCAGCTGCTTCACGCAGGAAGGACTGAAAAAAAGCCACAGGGGTGGGGTCATTAGCTAGTTTGACCATCAAGTACAGAATTCACTGCCACAAGATATGGTGGTGGCCATTTACACAGCCAGAAGTAACAGAACTGGAAAAGGATCTCAAAGCAATGATTTCTTCCCGTTTCCCACTTACAATGCTTTCAGAAATGAAACCCAAAATGGCATGCCTTTAGACACAGATAATCTATTTCTGCTGTTTCATTGTATTTATATTGCAAATTTGTGGTTTTACTGATGTTTTATTTGCACCGTATTAATGCTTTGCCTTTGGGTTTATGCTAAGCTGCCCCAGAATGGAGGAAAGGCAGGATAAAAAAAGGACAGACAGTGCAACACTGCAGACTGATTTCTGTTGGGATCCACGACTCGACCTGAGGATTCAGTGGCTGAACCCAACCAGTATCCTTCTTCCTTAAAATAAAACAACATTCAGAAGGCAGTTTTCTGGCTGAATGTTATTACAGAAATGTAGGGCTCTGGGATGACAAGGGCAAAGGTTTAGAACTGAATCAGGAAGACACTGGTTCAAATCCTTAATCAGCCAGGGCACTTAACGTGTGACCATAGGCAAGTTAATAACTGAGCCTACCTTATGTCACAGCATTGTGGTGAGAATGATTAATATCTCAGAAGAATGGTGGGAATAGAAATGCAAATATCTTGGCCTAAGGAGAAGTGAGGGTGTTCATCAGCAGTGTATAGGCACTGAGTAAAGTGGATTCCAAGGGGAAGTGAGGCACATTTCCACCTTTGTATTACCACATCATGGGACTTCTGACATCCTGGACAAGAGCATCTCTGCCGCATTTCCCCTTGTCTGGCCTTGCTGAAGTTGGCTGCACCATTCCATCGTGCTTCTGCGTTGGCTAAGAAGCAGCCTGCAGCTCACACCCATTTCGGTGCACTTGTTTAAAAAAAGGGAGTTTTAACATTCTACTTCAGTGCTTTTGGAAGCAAGAGCTGCAAAACACGAGGATTGCTTGGACTCCAGCCTTCACTGCAGTCCCAGCCAGTCCAACACTGCAGCACAGCCGAGAGCCAGAGCAGAAGATACAAGGCAAACCTGATACCGCCTGAGAGTCGCTCCTTGCAAAATGCAGATATCACCAAGGACTGCCAAGGGTGCAACATGCAGAAGGGCGAAGTCCGCTGGGGGAGGGGGAGAAGAAGGAAAGCCCCCAATGAAAGTCCAGATGCAGCCATATGAAGTCCTCCCCACGCCCCACATTCTGGGGGGTGGGGGGGACGGACCCATTTAGGCTTTAAAGCTAGAGGTATTTTTGCAGAGAAACTAATGCTACCCCGGATTAACAGGGGCTCAGTTAAACAGACTGCAGTGGATTTAGGAGCCCTCTACTGTCAGAAAAGGAAACAAGGATGATAAAGCACTTCCAATGCAGCGACAGAAAGTGAGGATCTGGGGAAGGTTTTAATACACTGCACCACAAAGGGTCACATCAATGCAGGAAAGGGTGGGTGGGATCACCCACATCTCAGCCAAATCCTCATTTTGAGCTCAGGCACAGAACTGTCAGGGGCAACAGGGCAGGAGGGGGTCAGAACAGCCACCTGACTTCCATCTTGGCCAAAGATTTCTTCAGGGCAAAAGCTTGAACTCTGACATCCCTGTCTAAACTTGTCAGATCGCATAAGCTACACAGGGTCTGCTAGACGAGAGGGAAATGCAAAGAGCAAGAAGAACTGCATTGCTCTTCAGAATCAGCCTTCAGAAGTGGCTTGGCATTTATAATGGCACCCCTACAGGACAGAAGACCAAGGGCTGTGGGAAGATCAAGGAAGGACAGCCCTGGCCTTCATCCCCCTCCCCAATCAAATCATGCTATTTCCCCCCCCCCAAAAAAAAAAAATCTCACTGGCCTTTTCAGCATTGCTTAAGATGGCCTACATCTCAATAATTGCTGGAGAGAGAGAGAGAAAGAGAGAGATGGTGGCCCTTCAGGGTAGCCAATCTAGATGGCCTGAGGGAAAGATGCTCTGGAAAGTAGGTTAGCATGGCAAGAGCAGCCAGCATGAAAATAATAATCTAATAGCTTCTGGTAGATAAGCCAAGCCGCCAGAGGGAAATGCAGACTCAAACAGGAAGCCACTCTTCTATATTGCAACGGGCTGAGGGAGGCTCCAGCAAGGGACTGAAAGAATTAGTGCGTCATCCACGCGCCGGAAGCTGCAGCAGGGAGAGGAAGATCAAAACTAGAAGGACCCCTGGCTTCATTACAGGAGGGTGGCTCTTTGAAGGCATTCTTTCTCCATTTCGAGCACTCTTCCCACCCACAGACAAGTGACCCTGTAATACTGAGACACCAAACCTTGTGCTTTACATCCGGGCTACTGTACTGTCTACACTGACTAGCAGTGGCTCTCCAGAATTTCAGACAGGAGTCTCTTGCAGCCTTATTGGGAGATGCCAGGGACTAAAACATGGGTCCTTCTGTATGCAAGGCATGTGGCTCTATTACTGAACTATGGCTCCTCTCCAAGCATCCCTAAGGTCCCCAGGATTCCTTCTCCTCATCACCAGACTACAAAGTAGTCTTCACACTATTCTCTCTTGCCAAATTGTTTGTCACGCTGCAATTAGACCAGAACTACCCCACTACATTTCAAATTATTGTGTTGGATGGCTTCCCCACTTCCCCCCAGAGCCAGTCAGAGGTGAGACACAGAATGGATTGGCTACTTCCATGCTTTTGTTTGAGTCAGGAGTTTGTCAATTTCCTTGTTGAGGCAAATCAAAGTGGTTTCTGAGGCCCAGTGCACAAGAACATCAGATGCTGCAGCTAAACAGAAACCTGGAAAGCAGACCACCAAGAGCCTCATGGAACAGAAGGACATGCATGCAATAAAACCTTCATTAAGAAGACAGCTCATATTTGTCAGGATCCACACCCATGTTCTCCTGCATCCCCCTCTGCTCTTCTAGATGATGGAAAGTGAATTCTCATCAGCAACCCAGCCACACCATTTCCAACCCCAACACAGCTTATGAGGAGACCATTCAAAAGACCACCAACTCCATGCATTCTCTCTTCAAATCATAAAGCTCTCTCAATACGCTTCCGTCCCTATCTTTTCTGCCTATTACATCTTCCACTCCTAGAAACACCAGCCTGACCTTTGAGGGTCCTGTCAGTTCACTTCCTCCAATTCTACACCATTCACTCATCTCACACCAGATACTCTACATGGCCACCTCCCACAAAGGCTCATTGTCTGTCGGCTTCTGAACAATGGGCTACAAAATGCCATCTCCCACACATCCCCTTCAACGAATCACCTCCAGCCCTTTTCCCATGGCCCTCCACTCTCAGCAACATCATTCAGCAGCCATCATGTCTCCTTACAGCGCTGTTACCCAAGAGAACATCTCCAGAAACAAGACCCCTACCCAAAGTACTCCTGAAGGGCAGATCCAAAGGCCTTGTGATGATCAGCTGGCACACTCGGCTACCACCCTTCTCCAGCCCCACCCGCCCTCCTGCCCAATGGCATCCCCCAGCCAGGTGGGCCTTCTGCCCAGTGCCCCTGCTGCCATCACCTCCTCTGTTCAGCACCTGTGGTGCTCCCACCCCCACATCACCTCCCACCCCAAAAGCCAAGCTCCCTGAAACCACATCCACACCTGAGCCGAGCCCTGCGTTTCTGATCCACTCCCATTAACCCTGCCACCTGCTCCTTGCCCCAATTGCCCAAGAACCTAACCTGCCAGGTAGCCAGCCATTCCGGAAAACCCAGCATCCAGGGCACTTCCTCCCAGCTTTCTTGAGAATCAACGCCAGCGCTTTCTTCCCTTCTCAGCTCTCCCCATCAGCTCTGCACAGCCTCACCCCCTGGACCCCCCCCCCAGGACACACACCAGCATCAACAACCCCCCCCCCCAAACACACACACTGCTCATCTTATCACATTTCGCCTCTCCCCTTCGTGCTTCTTCGGAAGGAAAGCTCAGGAGAGAGAGGGGGGAATGAGATCAGCCTCCCCCCACGCCTCGCCTCTCTCGCTGCCCCACTCATCCCAGCCCCCAAATGCTCATCGCACCCCCTTCACTCCGTAGGAGGGGCGTCCTAAGCCTCCCCCCCCAAAAAAACCCTCCCCTGCAGTCAAGCTGGCACCCCCAAAACCCTGCGCTCAAACTGCCCCCCTCCTCCCCACATCTGCTTCCTCCCCAGCTCCAGTCACTCACCCCCCCCAAAAAACCCTCCCCCAACCAGTGCTCCCCCATCTGCAACCCAGGACTTGCACGCGCTGACCCCCCCATGTGCCCTGCAGTGCGGTGAACCCCCCCCGTCTCACGCACCCCAAATACCCCCCATTTGACTCTGCACCCCCACAACCATTTCACTGGCGCCATTTCTCCCCTGCCCCCCATTAACACCCCCCCCCCCACACAATAAAACCAATGGGGCACTTACCTGGCCCCCTCCTCAGAGACCCTCGGCCCCCTCCCCCCTCATACAGCCCCCTGCAGACCCCGCTCCATTAACCCCTTCCCCCCTCGCCCCCACCCCCCTCCCTCAATTAACCCCTCAGGCGCCCGCGCCCCTCACCATGGCCGGGTCCGTGTGGCGACAGCAGCTGGAGCGTCGAGAGGCTTCGCGGAGCAGCGGCGGCGATGTGGGGAAGGGAGGTGGGAGCAGCACTAGCCGGAACCCGCTGCGGGCCGCCTCACGCACACACACGGCGCGAGAGGGATCCCTCCGCCAACGGCCGCCAGGGGAGCGCCCCGCCCCCTTCCTTCTCCCCGCATTCCGCGCGTCGGAGCTGCTCTCGGCCGCCGCGCAAGCCCCGCCCACCTCCCCGCCTCTTTGCGGGGTGGGGTGGGGTGAAGAAGAGGGGGACTATTTTCCCTCTCTCTTTTTTTTTCCCGCCCGTCGCCGCTTTTTCACTCGTCCGCCCCTCCCTCGAACCGCCTTCCAGCGGAAGGACACAGTATTGTGACGACGCGCTTGTGACGCGCGCCCCCATTGGCCGGGGAGCGAGGCGCAGGATGAGACTGCCGCGGCCATTGGTCGCCTCTCACCTGCAATGCGTCAAAATCGGAGCGGGCCATGTCGGAGCGGGAAAGAGGGGGGGTGGAGGGAGGAACCAAATCGGGAGGAATGGGCGGAAAGGCAGGGTAGCCAGCGGGGCAGCGGGCTGCTTGTTTCGTGGGTTTCAGGGAGGAAGGCAGCCGCTCGTGCTCTTTCGAATGGTACAAGCCAACTATCCCCCCCCCACTCCCAGCACAAATAGATCAATCTGGGCATAGGGGGCGGAGCCACAAAAACCCAGGCAGCCAATAGCCCCGCCTCCTTCATGCAGCCACGCGCTCATCGCAATCCGATAGGCCACACCCCTGTCCCTGGCCACGCCCCATCCCATGTTTCCCCGCCCCTTTCCGCTCCCAAACTTTTTACCCGCAATTTTTTCCCTAGCCTGGTGCGTTTCCTTTTGCTACGTGGAAGAGACTGGGTGTTAACAGCCGCAGTTTTCCCCACGCAGGGCAATGCAGTGATGGTCGGGCGCTTTACCTGTTGAACTGCAGCCTGTCAATGAAGAAGTTGAAGCTGCAGCTGCAGCTGCTCTCCCTGGCTTCTCTCCTGTATGTTGATCTGGCCACATTAGAAATAAAGGTCCACTAAGCTCAGTATTTTTAGGGATGCGGGTGGAGCTGTGGGTTAAACCACAGAACCTAGGGCTTGCCGATCAGAAGGTGGGCAGTTCGAATCCTTGCGACGGGGTGAGCTCCCGTTGCTCGGTCCCTGCTCCTGCCAACCTAGAAGTTCGAAAGCACGTCAAAGTGCAAGTAGATAAATAGGTACCACTCCGGCGGGAAGGTAAACGGCGTTTCCGTGCTCTGCTCTGGTTCGCCAGAAGAGGCTTAGTCATGCTGGCCACATGACCCGGAAGCTGTACGCCGGCTCCCTCGGCCAGTAAAGCGAGATGAGCGCCGCAACCCCAGAGTCGGTCACGACTGGACCTAATGGTCAGGGGTCCCTTTACCTTAAGCTCAGTATTCCCTGCACAGACTGCCAGTGATTCTCCAGTCAGGGTTTGAGACAACAGGCCCTCCCAGCTCTCTCTACCTGTTAAAAACGGTTTGAATGCATGAAATGTAGATCAGTTCATGCCCCTTCCAACCACAGATACCATCTTTCGGCAGGTGAGGAATAATGTGGTCAGCAAAATGTTGACAAGGAGTTATAGGGAAGTACAGTAGACGGGAACTCTAGAATATCTCCCTATGAAATCACTGAATTTGATCCTCCTTCCTTTCATTATTAATTTTTTTTAAGTGGAGTTTTGCTTGGAGGGGAAAAAGCATAAGGAACAGGATCTCAGGCATTAAAATGCACGGGCAACACAGACCTTTGGCTCGCACTGCTGGAGGGGGTCATATGGAAAGCATCTAACGTTTTGTTTCCAGTCATGCCTCCATGAAATGAAGTGCTCCTAGGGACAAGAGTGCCTCTGAGAACATACAAAAGGCCTTCCAGACATTCCTGAAGTAACGATCTAGGAAGCTGCCTTCTACTGAACCAGACCACAGGTCACCCAAAGTGTTTCCTAAAGTGCGGTATGCATATGTACTCATAGGGGTATGTTAAAAAATTTCAAAGAGTACACAGCAGAATGTTTTATTTTACTTTATCATAGGACTTTTCTTTTACCTCCAGAAAACAATTCAAATATTTGTTGTTGTTGTTTAGTCGTTTAGTCGTGTCCGACTCTTTGTGACCCCATGGACTAGAGCACGCCAGGCACTCCTGTCTTCCACTGCCTCCCGCAGTTTGGTCAGACTCATGCTGGTAGCTTTGAGAACACTGTCCAACCATCTCATCCTCTGTCGTCCCCTTCTCGTGCCCTCAATCTTTCCCAACATCAGGGTCTTTTCCAGGGAGTCTTCTCTTCTCATGAGGTGGCCAATGTATTCTCAGCTTCAGGATCTGTCCTTCCAGTGAGCACTCAGGGCTGATTTCCTTCAGAATGGAGAGGTTTGATCTTCTTGCAGTCCATGGGACTCTCAAGAGTCTCCTCCAGCACCATAATTCAAAAGCATCCATTCTTCAGCGATCAGCCTTCTTGATGGTCCAGCTCTCACTTCCATACATCACTACTGGGAAAACTACCCCCAAATTATCTTTGCCCAAAGCGGGATGCAGTTATTGTAAGTTTGGGAAACCTTGTTCTACAGAGATTGGCGAGCGCTCTCATTCAGGAAGGCTTTCCCCTGGCCTCCCTGGAGATGGTCCCGAATTTGAACCCGTTACCTTCTGCATGCAGACGCTCTGCCGCTGCACTTTCATCCCTGGGTGACGCCTAACCTTTCTATCAGCAAACTGCTACTTTTTCAAGGGGTTAAACTTCAGGTGAAGTATTTGACAGCCTTCAGTCATTGTTGCCTTGATAACAGGTCACGTTTGTCCCTATTTTACAGACACAGCACAGAAAGGGTTAGTGGCTGAGATGGGGTAAGAGCCGGGAGCCAAGCCAAACACTTCCACTATATTAATCTGAGGATTTTAAAGTCTCAGCATACCTGTACACCTGAAGGAGCGTCTCCACCCCCATCGTTCTGCCTGGACGCTGAGGTCCAGCGCCGAGGGCCTTCTGGCGGTTCCCTCATTATGAGAAGTGAGGTTACAGGGAACCAGACAGAGGGCCTTCTCAGTAGTGGCGTCCGCCCTGTGGAACGCCCTCCCTTCAGGTGTCAAAGAGATAAGCAACTACCTGACATTCAGAAGACATCTGAAGGCAGCCCTGTTCAGGGAAGTTTTTAATGTGTGACATTTTAGTGTAATTTTGGTCTCTGTGGAAGCCGCCCAGAGTGGCTGGGGAGGCCCAGCCAGATGGGCGGGGTACAAATAATAAATTATTATTTATTATAATTATTATCTCTGACCAAACTGCAGGAGGCAGTGGAAGACAAGAGTGCCTGGCGTGCTCTGGTCCATGGGGTCATGAAGAGTCGGACACGACTAAACGACTAAACAACAAACAATTATTATCAGCAACTGTGGTATTCAGCGGCATACTGTCTCCAACAGGGGAGGCAGAACATAGGATTAACCCTCCACAAATTTGTCTACCCCTCTTTTGAAGCCATCCAAGTCTATGGCCTGCAGGAGGGAGTTTCACAGTTTAACTATGCGCTGAATGGAGAAGCATTTCCTTTTCTCTGTGTTCAGTCTTCCAACCCTCAGCTTCGCTGGGTGGCTCTCAGTTCTAGTACCATGGAAGAAGATGAGGAAACATCTCCTTGTCCAGTTCCTGAACTCCATGCATAATCTTACACACCTCCGGCTTGCTCACCTTCCCTCTAAATTAAGGTAAAGGGACCCCTGACCATTAGGTCCAGTCGTGGCCGACTCTGGGGTTGTGGCGCTCAATTCGCTTTACTGGCCGAGGGAGCCGGCGTACAGCTTCCGGGTTGTGTAGCCAGTATGACTAAGCCGCTTCTGGCGAACCAGAGCAGTGCACGGAAACGCCATTTACCTTCCCGCCGGAGTGGTACCTATTTATCTACTTGCACTTTGACGTGCTTTCGAACTGCTAGGTGGGCAGGAGCAGGGACCAAGCAACGGGAGCTCACCCTGTCGTGGGGATTCGAACCGCTGACCTTCTGATCGGCAAGTCCTAGGCTCTGTGGTTTAGCCCACAGCGCCACCCACGTCCCTCCCTCTAAATTAAAAAGCCCCAAATGTTGCAACCTGTCCCCTTTCTACATCGCCTCGGGCGTTTTGCTTGCCCTTTCCTGAACCCTTTTCCAGCTGCACAATTTTCATTTTCGGGGTGGTTCATCTCTCATTCTTCTCCTCGCCAACCCCTAAATGCTAAATGCTTATCCAGAAACACACACACCTGGCCTGGCGCCTGTCCGTATCCTGATCTCTCGGCGCGGAGTTTATTAACGATTGAGCAAATGGCTCTGGGCCATGGATCCTGTAACAGAGCCCTCTTCTCGCCCGCTGACTCGCCTGCCTTTCATGGACTGTAATGGACTTTCGGTGAGCTTGAACAGGGAAGATAATGTTACCCTGGAGCCTTCTAAGCAGGGCAGAGAGTGCCCGGCCTGCAAGACGAACTTGTTTTTCGCTGTTGCCGCTTTTACAGCAAAAAAAAAGTGACCTTGGTGGTTCTAATTCCACCCAGAATCGATGCGGCTTCAGGTCTTATCAGGAATGGCGCATGAACAGAGAAGTTTATAAAGGGCTTTTTGTTACTCTACTCTATTTTGTTTTCGTTCTCACAAATGAAACTGTCGAGTTCCCCATCTGCTTTGATGCATTTCACATTCCTTTTTAGTTTGGTGGTGGCTGTAATAATTTTCGCAGCCGCTGTTGAGGGCTGCCATTTTGTTTTCCCAGAATGCCCCACATACTGCATCTTTTTTGGGGGGTGGCCCCCTTGCCAGCGGAGGCCGCTATGTTGTCGTGATGGCTGTTATTCAGCCTCACTTAGTACAAATAGACATAAAGGTTAATTTCCCCCACCACTCTTCCTTATTCCAAAGATATATGTCCTGGTTCTCCCTCAACACCATATTAAGAACAGTTTATCAGTAACAGAAAATAGGATTCTCTGACACTGAGGGGATGCTTGCTCCCTGGGCTCCCCTCTCTCTCCAAAGCGGTCCTTCTCTCAGATGTCGCTCAGCAGAACTGCACATGCTCAGAGGAACTCTCCCCTATTCTACAATGCTGAATATTGCTCGTATGTAAGGCCAGGCCAGGCTTTTTAGGAAAGGTGTTTCTGCTCAAAACGCCTAGAAACCTCGTGCAGACACTTAAGTGCACTTCTTTCCACAATTGCCGGCTTCAGCTTTTAGCTTTCTGCCGTATGTATTATTGCAAACCGCTCAGGTATATTTTACGAGCAGTGGCACAGAAATCTTGTCAAATAAATGCGTGAATAAATTATTATTATTATTATTATTATTATTATTATTATTTATACCCCACCCATCTGGCTGGGCTTCCCCAGCCACTCTGGGCAGCTTCCAACAAAATATTAAAATACAATAATGCATCAAACATTAAAAGCTTCCCTAAACAGGGCTTTTCCAGTAATGATGTATGGAAGTGAGAGCTGGACCATAAAGAAGGCTGATCACCGAAGAACTGATGCTTTTGAATTATGGTGCTGGAGGAGACTCTTGAGAGTCTCATGGACTGCAAGAAGATCAAACCTATCCATTCTTAGGGAAATCAGCCTTGAGTGCTCGCTAGAAGGACAGATCCTGAAGCTGAGGCTCCAAGACTTTGGCCACCGCATGAGAAGAGAAGACTCCCTGGAAAAGACCCTGATGCTGGGAAAGATGGAGGGCACAAGGAGAAGGGGACGACAGGACGAGATGGTTGGACAGTGTTCTCAAAGCTACCAGCATGAGTTTGACCAAACTGTGGGAGACAGTGGAAGACAGGAGTGCCTGGCGTGCTCTGGTCCAGGGGGTCACGAAGAGTCGGACACGACTAAACAACAACAACGACAATGCATCAAACATTAAAAGCTTCCCTAAACAGATGTCTTCTAAAAGTCTGGTAGTTGTTGTTCTCTTTGACATCTGGTGGGAGGGTGTTCCACAGGGCGGGTGCCACCACCGAGAAGGCCCTCTGCCTGGTTCCATGTAACTTAGAATGTAACATGTAAATGCATGAGACCTCAGCTGCCGACCCCGGTGTGGAGCCATGAGGTCTAGAAACTCGCTCCAAAGCGACGGTTGGCGCTGCCCCTTTTTCCGCGCTGCAGGTGGCTGGTTATTTTGAAATGCTTGAGTCGGAAATTCCCAACCGCACCGGGATTTCTTCATCCCAGTCCCACGCCCTCCTATAGCCACTGGGGCCAGCAGCTGGTGTGTATATGTTTGCGTGTGGTGCGCCCAGTGAACCCTGATGCCATTGTGTGTGTGTATATGTGTTTTGGAAACAGTTTGCCCTGCCCTTACAGGTTGGGAGCCGAGGAACCCAGAAACACAGCCTCGCTCTGTTCTCAGGAGCCGAGAGCCGAGGGCAAGGCAAGGGCAGGCCACAGCCTGCCCCCCAAATCACTGCCATCTAGAATGAGCTGTGCTCCACTTTGAATGGCCACCCGTTCTTCCTGCGGCTACTGCGAGGAAGTTGGCGAGGTGCAGAGAGCGAGAGAGAGAGCCAGGCAGACAGGTCAGAGATGGGGATCGGGTGCCAAGGAAACTGATCCTCCTCGCGCCCAAGACAGGAGCAGCCCGGAGGGGGTTTCGCTCGCTGGGAAAAGCGAGAGAGGAGATCCCGTCAGCCTGGGTTTGTCAGAGGCTGGCATTGCTGTCACTCAAAACCCCAAAAAGAACGGGGGGGCGGGCAGAGAGTGCAGAGAGACACCTATTTTTGCCCACAAAAATGCCCCTTTCTGGTGTGAGAGGGGCCCGTTTCCAAACTGCTGGATGTGTTGCTTGACCCCAGAGATTGGACCTTTCAAAACTCTTCCTTTTATCATGTTGTTTTAATGCTATTTTGTACACCGCTTACGAGTTTCTTGTTTTTTTAAAGTCAATTAAAACAGCTTTTAAATGAATAAAATGATCTACAGTGGTACCTCGGGTTACATACGCTTCAGGTTACAGACTCCGCTAACCCAGAAATAGTACCTCGGGTTAAGAACTTTGCCTCAGGATGAGAACAGAAATCGTGCTCCGGCGGCGTGGCGGCAGTGGGAGGCCCCATTAGCTAAAGTGGTGCTTCAGGTTAAGAACAGTTTCAGGTTAAGGACGGACCTCTGGAACGAATTAAGTTCTTAACCCGAGGTACCACTGTATTGGGATTCTTCCTCTTGTAGATGACCTTAATAACTGCTGATATGTACTATTGCTGTACTGTGTATTTGGGGTCTGTGGACTGCAATAAAGCTGGGTTTGCGTTTTTTTGAGATGGCTTTTAAACGGGCATTAATAATAACATTTTTTTATTTATACCCCGCCCTTCCCAGTTCAAAAACCAGGCTCAGGGCGGCTGACAACAAATTTAAAACACTTAATTGTAAAAGCAGCATAAAATACAGTATAAAAACATGAATAACAATAAAATTCAAAGTTCAGAAATCAATTTAGGGGAAATCCATCCAGTAAGCATTAGATGATCACCAGGGCTAGCTGGCTAAATTAGTCCTATTTGGGCCAGCGAGGAGACCAGGGGAGAATTAGCTGTGGGGTCTCAGAGCGGGTAATCTTCATAAAAGGGGAGGGAAGGAAGGGGAATAAAAGATCAGGCTGAATTCAAATTAAAGGCCAGGCGGAATAGCTCTGTCTTACAAGCCCAACGGAAGGAGGTTAAATCCTGAAGGGCCCTAGTCTCATGGGACAGAACATTCCACCAGGTCGGGGGCCATCACTGAAAAGGCGCTGGCCCTGGTGGAGGATAGTCTGACTTCCTTAGGGCCCGGGACCATTGGCTGCTGCAGAAGCCGAGCGTGACTGAGTGGTTGCATTTATTCATATCCCACCTTATTCTCCTCCTCCTCCTCCTCCTCCCTGAATCTCCACAACAGCCCTGTGAGGTAGGTTAAGCTGAGAGATGCAGTGCGTGCTCCCCAGTGAGTGTGGATTTGAACCCTGGTCTCCCAGGAGGGCGGGGGCAGCTCTTGTGCTCAGGTCTCACAGGGCATCCGGGTGGCCACAGTGGGTACGGGACGCTGCCCTAGATGGAGCCCCTGTGGCCTGATCCTGCAGGCTCTCCTTAGTAATAATAATAACAATAAATTTTATTTATACCCCGCCCTCCCCAGCCAAGACCGGGCTCAGGACGGCTAACACCAGGTATAAAAACAATTGATTAAAATACAACTTAAAACATGATTAAAATACAACAAGATTAAAATGCAGCCTCATTTCAGTAGAAACTCAAATCAAAAAATTTTGGGGGATGAAAACGTCAAAACTTCACCAAGGCCAACTATCCAGACTGGTCCTACGTGGGCCAGAAAAAAGCCAGGGAAGTCCCCAAATAGGAGTTCCATCACAGAAGGAGAAAGGATAGAGGGGGAGGGGATCAAGTTGATTCCAAGCCAAAGGCCAGGCGGAACAACTCTGACTTACAGGCCCTGCGGAAATAAATCAGATCCTGCAAGGCCCTGGTCTCATGAGACAGAGCGTTCCACCAGGCCGGGGCCAGTGTTGAAAAGGCCCTGCCTCTGGTTGAGTCTAATCTGACTTCCTTAGGGCACCTCTAGGGTGTTGCTATTCATGGACCTTAAGGTCCTCCGCAGGGCATACCGGGAGAGGCGGTCCCGTAGGTACGAGGTTCTTTGCTGAGGGCCGGAGGGTAGTAGGGTAGCCGTGCCTCGTCAGGGGTCAGGGGAAAGGAGGGTGTGTCAAATTTTCCAACTTTCAAATTCCAAAAATGAGGGGTGCCAAGAAGCTGCAGTATGACTTGGGATTTTGGTTAAATTCAGGGCTTTTCTTCAGCCGGAACTTACTGGCACCTCTCATCAAATGCAGACTTACTGATCTAAATGTTATCCAATTGCAAAACAAAAACCCCAGCAGATCTGAATTACTCACACCCAAAAATAATATTTTAAAGACACCTCGCTGAAGAAATTTGCAGAAATTAAGTTTCACCCCCTAAAATGGCACGCTCTAGTGACACAGGGAGCCAGTAGGGTCCCCTGTTTAAAGGCTGTCCTCCGGTCAAGTGGTTTGGATGCCGTAGTATCTGCGATGACAATTGGAACTGTTCTGGGACCAGACCACCCCAAGCCAGGAAATGAATTTTCTCCCAAGGCGATAAATGAGGCAAATAAAAGTATTTACTCGGGTTTCTTCAACTGTGCCCCAGTACAAAATAATCATCAATTATCATCTTAAAAGTAACCAGAAGATCAACAACAAAAAGCTATAAAGTCATCTTTACAGTATATTACAATTTAAATACATTCAGCCCACTCCCAGCTGGGGTTGGAGATACTGTTACCCTCCCACCCATTGTTCCTCCCCTTTTTCAAATCTGTACAAGTTCTATCTGATTCAGAGTAATGTATTATTCAATGACAATAGCAATAATGCATACTCTGCCCAGTAGGGGAAGGGGGAGAGTCGGTCCTTGATTTGGGTCGGCAGCTGGCGGACTTTGGTCCGGATACGCCCAACAAACTCTGGATAACTCAGTCGAAACAGCGCGGGACTCTTAAATCGCATTTTTGTGGGTTCGAGCCCCACGTTGGGCAAAAGATTTCCTGCCCTGCAGGGTGTTGGACTCTTGGGGTCCCTTCCAACTTTATATGATTCTAAGGAAGGGGACGGTGGGGTCCCCTGCTGGCAATGCAGTAAGCAAAGTAAATGGAGGCAGGAGGATCTGTGGCAATGAGCATATGTGATCTTCGTCACCCTGTGTATTGGACTACGACTCCCATCAGCCCCTGTCTCTAATTTCATTAATTTGGTCAGCTAACGTTGCTGCCTCCTGTATAGTTTTTGGGACATCGCTCTTTCACCAGATACTTCAGTTCCCTATTTATGCTGGAAGTTAAATGTGCAATAGGTAATGGTTTGACAAGGATACATTGAGCATGTATAACGTATTATTTTTGTTTTCCCCAGCTAGAGCCAGGGCCTTTTCAATACTGGCCCCGACTTGGTGGAACGCACTGTCACAAGAGACTAGAGCCCTGCGGGACTTGACATCTTTCCACAGGGCCTGCAAGACAGAGCTGTTCCACCTGGCCTTTGCTTTGGACTCAGTCTGACCCTTATGTTTTCCCTCCCCTTATGGTTTTGATCTATGGGCTACTTTTAAAATGAGGCTGCATTTTAAATTGCATTTTAACCTGTATTTTAAATTGGGGTTTTTTTCCTATTATGTTTTTACTGTAATTTTACTGGTGTTAGCTGCCCTGAGCCCGGCTCTGGCCGGGGAGGGCGGGGTATAAATAAAATTTATTATTATTATTATTATTATTATTATTAATCATATTAGCTGCCAGTTCCAGTCTCCTCATTTCTGTGCCACATCTAGTTAAGGGCGCACATCTGAGAAACCGTTCTGAATACAGTGGTACCTCAGGTTACATATGCTTCAGGTTACAGACTCCGCTAACCCAGATATATTACCCCGGGTTAAGAACTTTGCTTCAGGATGAGAACAGAAATCGCGCAGCGGCGGCACGGCTGCAGCAGGAGGCCCCATTAGCTAAAGTGGTGCTTCAGGTTAAGAACAGTTTCAGGTTAAGAACGGACCTCCGGAACGAATTAAGTACTTAACCCAAGATGCCACTGTATATTTAAAACTTGTTTGTTCTTCAATAAACTGATCTCAAGCGTTTCCCTGAATTCAAAGAGAAAGATAATCCAGAGGTTTTCCTCATCTCATTTGAAAGAGCATGCAATGGCTGATGGGAGTTGTAGTCCAAAACATCCAGAGGGCACCAGGTTGGTGAAGCCTGCTGTAACCAACGATTCAACATCTCCTTGGAAGCACCAAGCGCAACTTGGGGTATGCAATTTGCAGGCAACCGGGATGGTTTCGCAAAGCAGTGGTTAGCAGCTGGGCCGCCTCAGAGGCAGATAAGGGGACACAAAGGGGTCCAGTTTTTCTGAATCAGACTCAAACAGGCCATTTGCCAGACAGTCGCAACTGGGAACAATAAGATACCCCAATGGGGAGGGGAAAGACAAGGCCTTTCCCCGGGGCCTGCCCATGACACTATGCTGCCTGAGGCAAAGGGCAAGATGGCGTCGCCCTGTTCTGCGTACAGAATCCAACCAGACCGACGGGCGACTCTGATTTCAACACTAGGTTGGCATCTTCCACCACATCTGAAGGTCATCAAGCTAGCTTAGGAGGTGGCGAGTCAGCTAGCTTAGGAGACTTGAGTATTGGGGTGTGTTTGTGTGGAGAAACTGCTGCCACCCCTTGCTAACTGCCGCCTGAGGCAGCTGCTCGCTCATACTAATGGTAGGGCTGGGCCTAGCTTTGCCGTCCGCAACTGCTCACCGTGCAAACTTACATCATCTTCTGCAACAGAAACCACAGCGGGCATCTCCTAATGTGGAGCGGCTTCTACACCCCATCATACATTAGGACCAACACCCCAGCTCATTTGGAAATTAAGTTTTTAGTCTCAGTTTAGACCACCGGACCCTCCCCTTCATGGCTGTGGAGCTGGCCAGGGAGCAGGGGCAGGTGTCAAGGCGCTATACCCAGAACTCACCAGCTGCTGCTTCCGGAAGCCAGGAAAATTCTCGAGGACAGAAAGTCTTGCACCAAATAGCTCTTAAGCATGATAGACCAAAACTGGGCCTTCCAGACGTTCACTAGACTACAGCCCCCATCATCCCTGACCAACGGCCACACTGGCTGGAGCGGATGGGAGTTGTAGTCCAGTAACACCCAGAGGACCACAGGTTAGCCCATCCCTGGCTTGAAACATCCAGGAGCAGAGAGGCACTAGATTTAGGGGGTGGAGACCCCCATAGGAGCATCCTCTGAGTCACCTGACAGGCTCTTATAGGAAGAAAAGATGACCTCTGGTCTGATCCAGGAAGGGAGGTCTTAGCTTTGATGCCCCGTGACAAGAGATGGCCGATACAGTTGGTGGGGGTGCAGGGCCTTTGATGGGCTTCTCCTTGGCACATTTGCCACCCCTCCCAGCAGGGCCGGCCCATCATGACGCTCAATGAGGCAGTTGCCTCAGGCGGCAGGCTGTGATGGGTGGCAAATCCGGCCCTCCAAGGAGTGTGGCACTTGCTGCTTCCTGTGATTTCCGTCCACACACACACCCCCGCCTGCTTTTTGGGGCTTTCCATTCTTCTCCCCTGCTGCCTTCCCCGGCCCTCCTCCAGTCCCCTCAGGCAGAGGAGGAGGCAAGGAGTGGCATTTCCTGTTTTCCCTCGTGGCAAAACGGCCGGCAGTTGTCAGCAACACTTGGCCACAAGGCAATCTTCCGCCATGGCCCCCCTGCACTCCATAATGTTGCTTTCCGGACCATGTAGCCAATCGGTGGCTAGGTCCAGATGGGTGCGGCCCAGCTCCTCCAATCCCTTCTCTCCATTCAAATTAGACACACACACCCCTTTAACCCCTTCGGAAGCAGAAGCAAGGCAAGGTGACTTTTCATTGTCCTCCGGCCAACCTGGACTCTCTGAGAAAAGTCCGGCAGCGGAGCCAAAATCCTCCCGGCTTCCATATTGCCTTTGCCAGACTAAAGTTTGGAGGGACGGCTTTCCTCGCATCCAGAGAACTAATCTCCCCAACCGATCCCCCTTTAAGGGGCGGGGTCGTTATCCGCTGACCCAACCTGTTGGGCTTCCGCCTGCCAGCACACGTGTTTCACAGAAGCTGCTCCTCGCTGCCCTAAAGTGAAAGGCAGACAGGAACGCTGGCATCCTTTCCAAGTCAGAAATACAGCAGCGCTGGGCAAGTATGGACGGACTGCTACTACAAAAGGCTTGATTGGTCAGGAAGGTGCTTTGGGGATCGCACACCCCACTTTTTTCCGGGGGGCAGTGCCACTGGGCTCTTTAGCCCCTGATCGCAGTGCTGACGGAGTCCTCCTCTGCGGGTCCAATTCCCCTCTCCGCCTTTTTAATTTTTTTGCACACAGCTGAAACACTGTCCCCTCTCCCGCTGGGTCAGAGCAGAGGCCTTGGCAAGGCTGGGGCGGCGTTCAGCCGGTTCAGTTTGGCCCTCTCCTCGTTGGAGATGTCTGTCTTTGGGAGCCCGCAGGACGGGCGCGTTCCTGGGGGTCGCCCCGCCTTGGCCGTGGCCTCCTCCTCCCCGGGCCCCTGCTCGGCGTCGCCGTGGGTGAAGTTGCGGATCAGGTGGACGGCGTCGGGCTGCAGGCTGTTGTTGGTGGCGGGTTCCGGTGCGGCTGGAGGAGTCCCCTGGGATTTGCGGTGCATCCACAGCGCCAGGAGGACCAAGGTGGGGACCAACAGGACAAGCAGCGCAGCCAGCGGCAGCAGCACATAGAGGACTGTTGTGTTGGCGGCACCTGGAAGGGAGAGGAGGATGAATGAGGCCTTGCCATCTGGGAAACAAAAAAACAGGCATTCCCAATCTGGTCTTTCGGACTACCACTCCCATCATCCTCGGTCAGGCAGCGTGGCTGATGGGAGTTGTAGTCTGGAGGGCTCCGGGTTGAGGAAGGTGGTCTCAAATCACCCCAGGGCTCTGTAAGCAGAGCAGGAGGCCCAAAGTTCAGTCCTCGGCCTCTCCAGGGATTGGAAAGATGTTTTGCTCCCATAATCGCCTGAAGAGGAAACAGGGCTTAGTGAGCTAGAAGAGTCTGTGGCAGAGAGCAGTTTAGAAGCAGAGGCAGAAGCAGAGACTGGAGAGGAGCAGGGCCAAGAAGCAGAGATTGGGCAGGCTGGTGAGGAAGCCAGGAAGTCGCCCCCTCCTGCTTCAACAAGTTTTCCTCCTGCCTGGTCTCCCAGGACCAGAAGAGGCATCGGAGTGAAGGAATGGGTTTCCCAAACCCAAAACTGACTGTGCAGTCAGTTTGAAATGGCCCCAAAATCCCCATTTTTCCTTAGCTAAAATCCATTAACTTGAGCACTTGAGCAAATGTACAACAGAAACCCAGCTGTATAAACAAGTGCTCAAAGCCCCCTCCTTTATCAGTCTGTGACACTAATGGATGGCCTTGTCAGTTCCGAAGTGAAAACGGGATGGCAGAGCTGGGGCTTATCTTATCTTGTGGGTTGTAAATATCCTGACGCACTGACGCACAGACCTTGCAAGACACCCCGGCTCGGGGATGACGCCAAGAGTGCTCTTAGAGTTGGTGACCTTCTTAGCCCCAAGATAAGAGTATAGGAACAGGAAAAGGAAGATCCTTTTATGGTCAAGAGTACAAGAACAGGAACAACTTTATGGTCGTGGATGTCAACTGACGTGTATAAGCTGACGTAGCTGGATTCCTGGGGAGGGGGCAAGGGGACCAGAAAGGGTATATAAGCTGTCTGTAACCGCTCCTTAAGTGCTCTTGCTGTGAACTGACCACGCAAGTGCCTTTCTGCTGCTCCGGAGAACAGGAATAAATAACTCTTTCTCTAAATCCACCTCGGTGTCGTTTGACTTCCTTTCTCCCTCCCGGGAGCAACGCAGACCCCACCAATCGGTAAAGTCTAATAAGGCTACAGGAGGAGAATACGCCGCATACGCCGTCTCCTATTGCTTGGGTGGGTGGGAACCCTGGAGAGGAGGGGACATAGGCTGCTGTGGGAAGGCAGGGACTTTCAGCCTTGGCAACTGATTCATGGGCCCAGACCTACCAGGGTGAGTTGCTGTGCTCCTTAGGCCTGACACTCAACCAAGGCTGTGCAGATCGTTGGTTTTTTTGGCTAATAAACAGTTAACTCCAACTTCGAACAGTGTGATTTACTGCTGGCTCGCTCTTCGACACTCGGTTTGTGGCTTCAACGTGGCCCTCCGGGCTTCTTTGATTTTAATTAATTTTATAATGAAATGTTTTAGAATGTTGGATTATTTGATTGTTTGATTATTTGTTTGTTGTTAGCCGCCCTGAGCCTGGCTTTGGCTGGGGAGGGCGGGATATAAATAAAATTTATTATTATTATTATTATTCTCTATGCGGCCCCTCAGGGCTTTCCCCAGGCCCGCCCCTCACCAGCCTCACTTTGCAACCTTCATCGGGCTGGAATGTGCCCTTGAACCCGGACAGTGCTTGTTCAGAGGACAGAGAGAGGGGTGTGTATACAAGTGGCAGCCATTGTTGAACTCTCCTATAGCACTCTGACAGCGTTACCCTGGGCCCCGCCAGCAGCTCCTGGCACCTACCTTGGCACACGCCGTCGAGGCAGGCGTCTCGCAGCTGCCGGCAAGTAGCGCCTTCGGGGCAGGAGCAGACGTAGCTGCCCTCGCTGCCCACGCAGGAAGCGTTGTCGGGACATGGGTTCGAGGAGCAGGGATCCACAAAGACCTGCCGGATCCAAACAACAAGGACACAAATTGGTTGCGGAGGGGTGGAGAGGGGGCTGCAACCGGGTGGGGCAGAAATGTTCCAGATCGCCGGAGGTGGTTGTAAAGACGACCATCTGGACTCCACTCTTCTCTCCCCACCCCCTTGAAAAGGCATAATTTGCACAGGCAACATTCTGCAATGCATACGTCACTCAAAGTGAGCGCGTCTGCATGCATTTTGCATAACATATTCAACTTTGTGAAAGCACTGCACGAAAGCATAGGTTCTGGAAAGCAAGCCTTATGAGGAAGCTGGGACTGTTTAGCCTGGAGAAGACGGAGAGGTGATATGATATACAGGGAAGTTGTTTAATGTTTGATGTTTTATTACGCTTTTATATATGTTGGAAGCTGCCCAGAGTGGCTGGGGAAACCCAGTCAGGTGGGCGGGGTATAAACAGTAAAAATATTATTACAGTGGTACCTCAGGTTACATACGCTTCAGGTTACATAGGCTTCAGGTTAAAGACTCCGCTAACCCAGAAATAGTGCTTCAGGTTAAGAACTTTGCTTCAGGATAAGAACAGAAATTGGGCTCCGGCGGCACGGCAGCAGCAGGAGGCCCCATTAGCTAAAGTGGTCTTCAGGTTAAGAACAGTTTCAGGTTAAATATGGACCTCCGGAACGAATTAAGTACTTAACTTGAGGTACCACTGTAGTATTATTATTATTATTATTATTATTATTATTATTATTATTATTACGGCCATTTCAATCCGAAGGGCTTTCACATGGAAGAAGAAGAAGAGTTTGGATTTGATACCCTGCCTTTCACTCCCTTTAAGGAGTCTCAAAGCGGCTAACATTCTCCTTTCCCTTCCTCCCCCACAACACACACTCTGTGAGGCGAGTGGGGCTGAGAGACTCCAAAGAAGTGTGACTGGCCCAAGGTCACCCAGCAGCTGCATGTGGAGGAGCGGGGAAGCGAACCCGGTTCACCAGATTACGAGACTACTGCTCTTAACCACTACACCACACTGACTCTGAAAAGGGTGGAGGAGAGATTGGTGACTTGTAGACGCAGTCTCTGCTTGCTTGGGGGGGGGGGAATCCTGGAGAGGAGGGGACTTAGTCAGCTGTGGGGAAGTGCCACTCAAAAGTCCACTCAAAAGTTAAGCCCCACTGGCTCTCAGGTAAATGGGCATTAGACTGCACCTGCAATGTTGCTTTCAGCTTTCTCTGCCCGTGCAATGAAATCTGGATTCATTTGCGGAGGAAGAAGAAGGTGTTTGGATTTGATATCCCGCTTTATCACTACCCAAAGGAGTCCCAAAGCGACTAACATTCTCCTTTCCCTTCCTCCCCCACAACAAACATTTTGTGAGGTGAGTGGGGCTGAGAGACTTCAGAGAAGTGTGACTGGCCCAAAGTCACCCAGCAGCTGCATGTGGAGCAGGGGGGAATCGAACCCGGTTCCCCAGATTATGAGTCCACCGCTCTTAACCACTACACCACGCTGGCTCATGTGTTTTCCACTGCTCTGGCAGGTAGGACCTGAAGCAATGGATCCCAACCACAAGAAAGGAAATTCAGAGTAAACATCAGGAAGAACTTTCTGACAGCAAGAGCTGTTAGACAGCAGGCTCCCTCGGGAGGGGATGGATTCTCTTTCCTTGGAGCTTTTAAGCAGAGGTTGGGTGGCCATCTGCCATGGACAGTCTAGCTGAGATTCCTGCATTGCAGGGGGTTGGGCTGGATGACCCCAGGGGTCCCTTCCACACTTCAAAACGACCTTGACAGATTAGAGAACTGGGCCAAAACAAACAAGATGAACTTTAACAGGGAGAAATGTAAAGTATTGCACTTGGGCAAAAAAAAATGAGAGGCACAAATACGAGATGGGTAACACCTGGCTTGAGAGCCGTACATGTGAAAAGGATCTAGGAGTCTTGGTTGACCACAAACTTGACATGAGCCAACAGTGTGACGCGGCAGCTAAAAAAGCCAATGCAATTCTGGGCTGCATCAATAGGAGTATAGCATCTAGATCAAGAGAAGTAATAGTGCCACTGTATTCTGCTCTGGTCAGACCTCACCTGGAGTACTGTGTCCAGTTCTGGGCACCACAGTTCAAGAAGGACACTGACAAACTGGAATGTGTCCAGAGGAGGGCAACCAAAATGGTCAAAGGCCTGGAAACGATGCCTTATGAGGAACGGCTAAGGGAGCTGGGCATGTTTAGCCTGGAGAAGAGCAGGTTAAGGGTGATATGATAGCCATGTTCAAATATATAAAAGGATGTCACATAGAGGAGGGAGAAAGGTTGTTTTCTGCTGCTCCAGAGAAGCGGACACGGAGCAATGGATCCAAACTACAAGAAAGAAGATTCCACCTAAACATTAGGAAGAACTTCCTGACAGTAAGAGCTGTTTGACAGTGGAATTTGCTGCCAAGGAGTGTGGTGGAGTCTCCTTCTTTGGAGGTCTTTAAGCAGAGGCTTGACAACCATATGTCAGGAGTGCTCTGATGGTGTTTCCTGCTTGGCAGGGGGTTGGACTCGATGGCCCTTGCGGTCTCTTCCAACTCTATGATTCTATGATTCCCTTCCATCTCTGCAATTCTATGAAGGCACAGGGGATCGCGCTCAGCTTTTGAGGCTTCACGAAAAACAACACCCAGATTAATGAAAAAGATCAGCGCAGCACTGTCTCGACACCCTTGCCCTGTGATCCTTTTAGGAACAGAAGAGTTTTAGTTTGGTGCTTTGACCTTGCCCCACAGAAGCCCCAGACACCCCAGGAGCAGGGGACAATTACCGGTACCTTGCAGCGACCAATGTGCTGCCATCTACCTTATTGCAGGGCAGATTCGAGGGTAAACCATACGTGGAACGAGTCTGCCCCTGCGGCTTGATGGAGGTAGAAACTGTCTCTCATGTCTTGTTACGCTGCCGTTTCTACGGGGATATACGCTCGGTATTTATCACTCCTGTTATACAAAAATCTCCAAACGGGTCCGAACTTCAATGTCTAAAACTCCTGGTAGAGGACAAGGATCTAGAGATCACGCTAAGGGTGGCCAAATTCTGTGAGACTGCCTTAAAACTTAGGGAACAAGCTACCAAAATGATTAACGATTTAAATGACAATTTTAGGTTATATTTTAGTGATCAAGATTTAATATATATTTTTAACTGCCGCTACATCTGTACTGTCTCTGTTATACCCAATTGCAATTCAATGTATTCCTGTTGTGTTTTATGATTTTCCTGATATTGTAAGCGAGGCGGAGCTGGTCTGTGAGACCATAATAATAAAATTCATTCAGTACCTCGCAGCGACTGCCGCTAAGCCCGGGAGGGCAGTTGCAAAGAAAGGTCTTGTTTTCCATCTCCTGGCATTGCCCTCCGTGCAGGCAGGGGGCGCCACCACAGGAGCGCAGCTCCGTCTCGCACTCTGCGCCTGTGTAGCCCTCCCGACAGGTGCAGAGGTGCCTTCCGCCTTTCACCTGTTGGGAACAGAGAGGAGGAGGAGAGAGACAGGAACTGGCATTAGCAAGTCGTCAAGTTGCGTAGGGAAGGGAATTATGGGACAGAGGAAGGGGCATAGGAATCGTGGAGTCAAAGAGTTGTTGGAAGGGACCCAAGGGTCATCCAGACCAACTCCCCGCAATGCAGGAAGAACGCAAATGGGCTAAAGAGGATCCCGTTAAACGAAATTGCGGACAACTCACAGATGAACTTGCACAAAGGGAAACTGGCCCTCCAAATATTGCTAAACCACAACCCTTGTCATCCAGCTCATTGGCCATGCTGGGCTGAGCTTGTGGGATCTGCAGTCAAAGAGGTTCCCCATGCCAGAACGAATAATAATAATAATAATAATAATAATAATTTATAATTTATACCCCACCCATCTGGCTGGGTTTCCCCAGCCACTCTGGGCGGCTTCCAACAGAACACTAAAATACAGTAACGTATTAAACATTAAAAGTTTCCCTAAACAGGGCTGCCTTCAGATGTCTTCTAAAAGTTTGGTAGTTATTTTTCTCTTTGACATCTGGTGGGAGGGCGTTCCACAAGAGAAGGACCTCTGCCTGGTTCCCTGTAACTTGGCTTCTCACAGCGAGGGAACCGCCAGAAGGCCCTCAGCACCGGACCTCAGTGTCTGGGCTGAACAATGGGGGTGGAGACACTCCTTCAGGTATACTGAACTGAGGCCATTTAGGGCTTTAAAGGTCAGCACCAACACTTTGAATTGTGCGTGGAAAAGATAAATTTTTATTTATATCCCGCCCTCCCCAGCCGAAGCCGGGCTCAGAGCGGCTAACAACAATAAAAGTAACACAGCATTCTAAAACCAATTCATTCTAAAATCAATTCAAAATCAAATTAATGGCAACCATTGGGCTAGAGTTCTGTGAGGATTACCAAGTGGAAGTCTTCTTCCAGGCAGACGTCAGGCCCACAGAAAGATCATGGGCTGGCAGATATCACGGATCTAGAATACCTAAGCTACTTTATACTGAAGCAACCCATCTACTATATATTTTGGAAAGTTGTCCATCCTGTCTGTTCTCTATAGGTTCGGCTGTCTCTTGATATCTCGTTGCCAAAGTTGGCACAAGGGTTCCTGGGGGGTTGGCGGGGAGGCAATCTGTGTCTCTGTTTGGGCGCCATGTTGAATCAAGATGGCGGGCCAAACTGGGCCTGACACTCAGCCCAGTCTGTGGAGATGGTGTTTTTGCTAGCAAAGAGCTAAATCCGCCTTTGAACTTTGTGATTACTGGCTGGTGGACTTCTGCGGCAGCAGGGCAGTGGTCCAAGAAAGCCGGCAAGGCTGAGAGGATGAAAATAACCTGGCGGGAAGTCTCTGCCAGCACAGAGTTGGGTGGATTTCTCAGGATAGCATCCCTAAAATGGCAGCCCCCAATTCTCGATTTTGAAAATTTTCTCTTTCAATCCGACCTGAGCACCCACACACTTACCTGGCAGGTCCCTCCATTGCGACATCGTCTCCGGCAGGAGTTTTCTCCTATTTGGGAATAAGGGGGTAAAGTAGAGAATGGGTGTGTGATCACTGAACTTCTAAGCAGTTCCCGTGAGAGAAATACACTATTTATTTAAAACAGTGGTTCCCAATGGGTGCTTCCACATAATCCATTTAGGGGTTCTGTGGCACAATTCACATAACAAAAACTACCATAGAGATACCGTATTTTTCGCCCTATAGGACGCATTTTTCCCCTCCAAAAATGAAGGGGAAATGTGTGTGCGTCCTATGGGGCGAATGCAGGCTTTCGCTGAAGCCTGGAGAGCGAGAGGGGTCGGTGCGCACTGACCCCTCTCGCTCTCCAGCCTCCAAACCAGGTCTCCGCAAGAGGTGGGAGAGCTGCCTGCACCCCGAAGCCTGGAGCTCGCTGAGCTCAGCGCCCCCCAGGCTTTGGGCTTCGCGTGGCTCTCTGCAAGCTGCAAGCTCTTGCGGAGACCTGGTTTGGAGGCTGGCGGTGGGGAGAAGCGCACTTCTCCCCAGCCCCACAAGCTCGGGGGACAGTGGGGAGGCGGAGCGCCGCCATCCCACTATTCCCCGACCTGGTTTGGAGGCTGGCGGTGGGGAGAAGCGCACTTCTCCCCATCGCCAGCCCCACAAGCTCGGGGGACAGCGGGGAGGCGGAACGCGCCTTCCCGCTGCTCCCCAACCTGGTTCTTCCAGCTCCGCACCTGGCGGAGAAATAAAGAATTTTTTCTTTATTTCCCCCCAAAAAAACTAGGTGCGTCCTATGGGCCAGTGTGTCCTATGGGGCAAAAAATACGGTATCAAAATTTTCAAAAGTAAAGGGGTCCATGGTTTGACTTTCAAAAAACAGCCGGTCCGCAGTACTTCGCTAAATTGGGAACCACTGGTTTAAGACACTTCTATACCCCTTGATTATTCCCCTTTCTCAGCGGTGTACATAAAAAACTACCTATGGAAAACAGGCCAATAAAACAGTAAACATTTTATCCGTAAAACCAAACACCACCTTAAAATGTCTGCCGGAACGAGAAAATCGTACATCATATCCGCACTATGCATTGAAAGTGCATCCAGTGCAGAGTTAAAGCGTGTGGCTTTCCTCAAAGAATTCTGGGAACTGTAGTTTTGCCCTCGCAGAGCCACAATTTGTGGCACCCTTAACAAACTACAGTTCCCTGATTCCTTGGTGGGGGGGTCATGGGTTTTAAATGTGCGTGGGGTGTGCTTTAAATCGGTGGTGTGGATCTGCCCTCAGTCATGTGCCTGATGTTCAGGAAGGAAGCCAACCAGATTGCAAAAGGCTAGGATGGTTTTCAGCTGAGCTGTCTGGCTCAAAAGCAGCAGTGGGCAACTTCTGGTCTACAAATCCACCTTATGACACCTCCATCCCCGCTTTATCCAAACCTCTACTGTTGCTTAAAACTGCCATTTTAACACCTGCCTTCTCTTTTGCTCCCCTCCTGCACCCTGACGTGATGCAAATCCAGAATTGTGATGGGGCATCCCCAGTCCTCCAAAGGCGGCTGCGTGACGACAGCCTTACAGTTCTATGTCTATAGGAAGATAGTTGCCTGGTTCAGAATCTCACCAGTCACCCATCCAGGGCTCTATTCTCTCATCTGATTGGACAAAGGTCTCTCTGAGGTCTCAGGCACAGGTCCCCCCCTAGCCTTGCTATGGTGCGGATGTGTTCTTATCACTTGGTAACAGCCCTTCTCCTTGCTACAGGTACAAATTGCAGTACATCAGCCAGATGAAGGCTTACTTTGCCCCCACTTCTGAATGCATGTTGCACCCCACTGGGGGCCCCCGTCCTTACTGATATCGCAGTTTGTTCCAGTCCAGCCGTCCAGACAGTCACAGAAATAGCCCCCGATGAGGTTTTTGCACCCACGCGCGTGGAGACATGGGTTCTTCTGGCATTCGTTCACATCTGGAAACAAGAACATGGGAAACGCCAAGCCAAATCAGAGCAAAGGTCCACCCAGGTCAGCACCAACAGCTTCCAACAGCGATCAACCAGATTCCTCTAGGAAGCAGGGGCACGGTGGTCTAAGGGTTGCCTCTCGCTGGTTGTACCCAGCCACTAGAGATATAATACTCCTGTAAATGGAGGTTCAGCCTAAGTATGTGACTAAAACCCAAACGCACCCTTCCTCCAGCAATGTGCCCGGTCTGATTTGTAAAGCCATCTAAAAAGAGTGTATTTTGTGGCAACTGTAAATCACACCAGTTAATCAACAGGGCACCCGTCAGGGTTCAGAACCTCATGCTTGGACAGAAGTCATGCCCAGGGACTCCAGACTAGCTGACTCAGGAGAAAAACCAAAGAGATTACACCACTTTGCAAATATCTGGCCTCACAGTTACAGAGAAAAACCTGAAACCAACACAGAAATCGCCTGGTATCAGCACAGGATTTAGGGCAGTGCGGGTGGCCGAGTCGAGGGGGTGCAAAATTGAAAAGATCCATAATGGGAAAAGATCCATTTGGGGGCGTCCAATTTTGGCCTTGCACAGGGTGCCACATTACAAAAGATTACCAAAAGCCTGCCCCTGTTAAAAGCTCCCGGTTTTTCACCTCCCCTAAGTGGCAGTTGTACTGTGGAGCAAGTGAATGAGCACAAACATTCTAACATCCGAGGAGGAGGAAGTCCCAGCCTTCCAGAATGCTGAAAACAGGGCAGGGGCGGCGAGGGGAAGAGGAGTGTTGATTTGGGGGCAGGAAAGAAATGGAAAATCACACGGGACCAATTGGAAGGGCAAGGAGGTGGGACGTTGGGAAGAGCGGAGCCGTCTTTCCCATAGGGCTTAGGAGTGCGTCGCGCCAGGGCGCACCCCAGTGAGTGGGGGAGCTGCACGGCTTTGCCGGTGGCCCCCGCTTTCTCTGCACCCTAAGCCTAACCACATGGCTGGCCGGCGTGCAGCCTACCTCCCAAGCCTCCATGGGAGGAGAGCGATCCCCGCAGAGGCTTAGGATGGAAGCTGTGCCCCGCTAACTACCATATTTTTTGCTCCATAAGACACACTTTTTTCCTCCTAAAAAGTAAGGGGAAATGTCTGTGCGTCTTATACAGCAAATGCGTGGTCCCTGGAGCCAAATTGCCCAGGGGCGAAAAGCTTTTTTTTTTTTTAAGAAAGAGGGAAGGGGGTGCTGAAAGGAAGCCGCTGAGCAGCTGATCGGCAAGCGATCAGGAGGGGGAGAAGGGACGCTAGTGATAAAGGAGGCTGCCTGGGAGGGGGTAGGTAAAAGCACATGGATCCTCAGGATTTTTGCAATGGGTCACCCCAAATTCGCCATCAGATCACATAGCATGTCCATGGCTACAGCCTGCACCAAAAAAACCATGTACCCACTGTTTTGTGGGGCCACAATGGCGCAAAAACGTGGTTACAAAGCACGGATCCACATGGATTCTCAGGATTTTTGCATTGGGCTGCCCCAAACTCACCGTCAAATCACATATCATGTCTGTGGCCACAGCATGAACCACAAAAATCATACATCCACTGTTACGTTCGGAAATTTTTTTTTCTTGTTTTCCTTCTCTAAAAACTAGGTGCATCTTATGGTCGGGTGCGTCTTATGGAGTGAAAAATACGGTATGTGGCTGGCATTGCGCAGCTCCCCGCCCCCCATCCGTGGTAATTTGGGGGCGCTGGGCGGATATTTGCACCCCGCATCTGCTAAAGACAGCCCTGGGGAAAAGGGTAGGAGGGGGTGATGTAACTCAAGGAGGAAGGAGCGACCACAGAACGTCACGCAACGAAGGGCAAAAAATCCTCACCGATCTGGCAGGTCTTCCCTGTCCACTGAGGAGTGCAGAGGCACTTGAAGCCGTCAGGGAGGTCCTTGCAAGTCCCGCCGTGGCTGCAGGGCTGGGAGAGGCAGTCGGTCACCTCTAGGGGGCAGCAAAACAATGCGCTGCGGTTAGGAGGATCCGGCAACAGAGGCAGAGGAAAATCGCAGCGCCTTAATAATCCCTTAACTTTACAACCATCTAACGACAGTGGAATTAACGCAGCGCCCGGCGGTTTGCAAAACTGCACTTCTGCTAGCAGTTACGGCAAGCTGAACCTAATTTGTCTCAGGAAAAGAACAGAGATGTCGCTTTTTAAGATTTCTGGTTCTTACGGTTACAGTGTTGGGGAAACTGAAACCACACAGAAAGTGTGTATGTGGAATTCAATGCATAAATCGTAGAAGAGTTGGAAGGGACCCCAAAGCTCATCCAGTCCAGGGGTCAGCAACCTTTTTCAGCCGTGGGCCGGCCCACCGTCCCTCAGACCTTGTGGGGGGCCGGACTATTTTTTGGGGGGGGAAAGAACAAATTCCTATGCCCCACAAATAACCCAGAGATTCATTTTAAATAAAAGCACACATTCTACTCATGTGAAAACACCAGGCAGGCCCCCAAATAACCTAGAGATGCACTTTAAATAAAAGAGCACATTCTACTCATGTAAAAATACGCTGATTCCCGGACCATCCACAGGCCGGATTGAGAAGGCAATCGGGCCGGATCCGGCCCCCGGGCCTTAGTTTGCCTCCCCCTGATCTAGTCCAACTCCCTGCAATGCAGGAATCTCAACTGAAGCATCTGCGGTAGATAACCATGCAATATATTGTCACAATAGACTTATCAGTCCAGCCCAGCCATCACCAATCGCGTGTCCTCCAGCTGCTCTGAATTACAACTCCCATCCCACACTGGGGCTGATGGGCATTGTAGTCCAAATCAGTTGGGGGAAGGTCTCAGTTAGCTTGTTTTTTGTTGGTTTTGCTACAATAGCCCAAACATGGCTATTCTACTGGAATAAATTAATACCAGTTTAGCATTTACTGCAGCTTTGAAGTTCCCAAACTTCAGCTGTCTTACTTTGTCTCCTTTGGAAACACCTTGGGCAGCCCAATTCCCCAAATCTGAAATCCAAAAAACCTCTGACTCCTTTGCACTTTAAAAGGTAGTCTATATTTTTGATGAAGTTTAGAATTTCTGGGGCCTATCTCAATGACAAACCTAGACAGCATCTTAAACAGTAGAGACATCACCTTGCCAACAAAGGTCCGTATAGTTAAAGCTATGGTTTTCCCAGTAGTGATGTATGGAAGTGAGAGCTGGACCATAAAGAAGGCTGATCGCCAAAGAATTGATGCTTTTGAATTCTGGTGCTGGAGGAGACTCTTGAGAGTCCCATGGACTGCAAGAAGATCAAACCTCTCCATTCCGAAGGAAATCAGCCCTGAGTGCTCACTGGAAGGACAGGTCCTGAAGCTGAGGCTCCAATACTTTGGGCCACCTCATGAGAAGAGAAGACTCCCTGGAAAAGACCCTGATGTTGGGAAAGATGGAGGGCCCAAGGAGAAGGGGACGACAGAGGACGAGATGGTGGGACAGTGTTCTCGAAGCTACCAGCATGAGTTTGACCAAACTGCGGGAGGCAGTGGAAGACAGGAGTGCCTGGCGTGCTCTGGTCCAGGGGGTCACAAAGTGTCGGACACGACTAAACGACTAAACAACAACAACAACATCTCTGGACTGCGTCTCATTTTTAAGCATCCATGTGTGTCCCCAAAACTCATCAGTCCTCCACTCCCCCCAAAAAGTGGGAGGAGGTCATCCCATTAGCTGCAAATACTCATGTCTGAAACATCAACATTTTATTTTTATTTTATTTATTTCTTAAACATCTCGTTGGCATTTGCAGAGTTTTAATGCATAATCTATCAGCAAAATTAACTCGATGCAAAGTCGATTTTTGCATAACTTGAGTCTGAACCTCATTAAAGGAGAAAATAAAAGTAAGAAAAACACCAAAGAAGGAAAAAGCGAGGGAAAATAGGAAACACTTATTCATCCAGTTGAGGTTCCCTTTCTACTCGGTGGAAAAATTGAACTCACATAAAAATTAGGCATGCGGAATAAATGATTAAGTAGGCTCGATCTTCTAAAATTCATGCCCATCTAATTAAACGGTCTGAACCCAGTAAAAGATCGACGTTTAATAAGCATTTTCCATTCAGATTTAAAATTTGCAAAGCTGAGTGCTCACACACATCATATGCATCCCTCCTCGAAAACTTTTACCAAAGCAGAAATTTGTGCATTTCCACCTTTGAAAAACTTTACATCTGTTCCCAAAGTTTGCAAGTGAGAGTGCTAACACTCTATTTCCTTCCTCGTAAGTAAACACCGTCATTTGTTTATTTTTTTAATGCCCTTAAGACTGTTAAGATTGGTAAAAGCAAACATTGCATTGGTGACAGCAGCCACGAAATTAAAAGACGCCTGCTTCTTGGGAGAAAAGCAATGACAAACATAGACAGCATCTTCAAAAGCAGAGACATCACCTTGCCAACAAAGGTCCATATAGTAAAAGCTATGGTATTCCCAGTAGTGATGTATGGAAGTGAGAGCTGGACCATAAAGAAGGCTGATCGCTGAAGAATGGATGCTTTTGAATTCTGGTACTGGAGGAGACTCTTGAGAGTCCCATGGATTGCAAGAAGATCAAACCTCTCCATTCTGAAGGAAATCAGTCCTGAGTGCTCACTGGAAGGACAGATCCTGAAGCTGAGGCTCCAAGACTTTGGCCACCTCATGAGAAGAGAAGACTCCCTGGAAAAGACCCTGATGTTGGGAAAGATGGAGGGCACAAGGAGAAGGGGACGACAGAGGACGAGATGGTGGGACAGTGTTCTCGAAGCTACCAGCATGAGTCTGACCAAACTGTGGGAGGCAGTGGAAGACAGGAGTGCCTGGTGTGCTCTGGTCCAGGGGGTCACGAAGAGTCGGACACGACTAAACAACTAAACAAAAACAACAAGAAGAAGCCACTTACCGTGCTGACACAACTCCCCGCTCCATCCTGGGGGGCACACGCACCGGAAACCGGGTGAGGTGTTGAGGCACGTTCCGCCGTTGGCACAGAGCTCAGGAGCGCAAGTTAATTCGGCAACGGGTAACGGAAGGAGAGCTGGCATCGGGGAGACACGGGAAAGAGGAGGCACAAGGCTGTTTTACAAACGGGCCTGCCCCAAAGCTGCTAGTCCACAGTAAGGTCTGCTTGCTGGCCCTCCCCTTCATGCTTACGGCCGCCCTGGGTTGGGCATTAGAAAGAAAAAAAGACCCCACACTCATGAGATTCCTCTGTTCGCCTGGAAATTATCCTGAGAAACAGTTTCTATTCAAGTGCGATTTTGGTTTTAAACACAGTGTAAGGTAGTCTCTAGGACGCGGGTGGCGCTGTGGGTTAAACCACAGAGCCTAGGGCTTGCCGATCAGAAGGTCGGCGGTTCAATTCCCCGCGACGGGGTGAGCTCCCGTTGCTCGGTCCCTGCTCCTGCCAACCTAGCAGTTCGAAAGCACACCAGTGCAAGTAGATAAATAGGTACTGCTCTGGTGGGAAGGTAAACGGCGTTTCCGTGCGCTGCTCTGGTTCGCCAGAAGCGGCTTAGTCATGCTGGCCAAATGACCCGGACGCTGTACGCCGGCTCCCTCGGCCAGTAAAGCGAGATGAGCGCTGCAACCCCAGAGTCGGTCACGACTGGACCTAATGGTCAGGGGTCCCTTTACCTTTAAGGTAGTATCTGTGGGAGTATATTGTATTCAATTATGGGGTACAGTGGTGCCTCGCAAGACGAAATTAATCCGTTCCGCGAGTGTCTTCGTCTAGCGGTTTTTTCGTCTTGCGAAGCAACCCTATTAGCCGCTTAACGGATTAGCGCTATTAGCGGTTTAGCAGCTATTAAAGGCTTATCGGCTTATCGGATTAGCTGCTAAAAGGCTATTAAAGGCTTAGCGGCTTAGATAAAGGGGGGGGGAAGCGAAAAAAAAATCTCAAGACTCGCAAGACATTTTTGTCTTGCGAAGCAAGCCCATAGGGAAATTTGTCCTGCGAAGCAACTCAAAAACGGAAAACCCTTTCGTCTAGCGGGTTTTCCGTCTTGCGAGGCATTCGTCTTGCAGGGCACCACTGTATAAGAGTTTTTAGGGGGCTAACCAGGCTGGGATAGATTGGATAGCAGGCTTGTTGGTTTCTGAATGTCTGACGTAGATCGTTCTGTATAGGACAATGACAATAAAGATTATCATATCGTATTGTATCCTCACCTCGCCAGAGGCAATCAGGCAGGCAGTGGCAGAACTTCATGCTCCGGCACTGGGGGGGGGGGGCAGAGAGCAGGCAGGGGCGTGGCTGGCACGCGTCCCAGGGGCGTGGCACGTGTCCTGGGGGCGTGGCACGACGCTTGTGGGAGCGTGGCACCCAGCGCGGGCAGGGGGGCAGCCGCGATGGCACCCCACCGGGATCGCGCTGCCAGGGGCAATGTGCTCTTCCCACACTCCTCTTCCTCCGCCAGTGCAGGCAGGTGGCTTGGAAAGCAAGCCTTCCCAGCTTCTTCAAGCCCCTATTTGACCGCTGTATCCCACCCAATTTTCAGAGCTGGCGCAAAATGGACGAGGGAGACACAGGTCTCTTCTCCCAGCCTGGATTGGAAAAAGAACCCTCCTTCGTTTATGACCTCTGCCTCTCCTCCTGGAGCAAAGAGTGGAGTCATTTTCCATGCCCAGACTATCATCCCGCCCAGTTCTCTGCTAACAGACCAGCTTCTGATTTCCAGTCCCTCGCATCGCACAGCTGAGAAAACATTTCTGAAGCAAGACGGGGGGGAAAGGAGGGGATTTTGTCCCATCCCAAAATGCAAAGGCACTTCCTGGCTGCAGCTAAAAATTAATCATCTTTTTGGGGAGCCAAGGACAACCCAGATATACAAGCGACCCCACCAAGTAGAATGCATTGCAAGATTATATTTTATGTACCATGTTTCTAGCTCAAACTTTCTCCACAGAGCTGAAGATGGCATAGATAGGACGTGGGGGCACCTCTTTTTGCGGTAAATATTTATTTCTTAGAAGGAGAAATTTTAAACTGATTACCTGATTAGTCAAGTAAACATTCCAGGCCTACTTATAAGTCAGGTGACTCCTAGGTTGCGTGGAGGTTTTTTCACAGAATCAAGTGGTATATGAGTTTTACGAAAGATATAAAAAATAAATAAACGACATTAGTATATTTGGAAATAAGTTTATATATAGCTCCCGGTTAGGTCACTTTGTTTCCTTGGGTGCTAACAAGGTACCAGTATTTCAGTCAGAAAGTAAGCTGCGTATTCTACAAGGTTTGTTTTTTTGTTTGGTAATTTTAAGATGTCTGCTGTATTTATCCTCTTTTGTTAGTAACTTTGATTGTTTTGTGGTACGTATATTTTGGGAAGTGCGATTTGTATCGCATCCCTGCCCTGAGGCTTTTATGATGATGGGGAGATTAGCCAGTTTAGCTCGCTGGCTGAGTGGGGGTAGAGACCCCTGCCACCCATATTCAACTCTGACACCCAACCACTTTGCTAGTTTATTTGATTCTACTTTGGTTTATTTTTGTTTAGTTAGAAAAGAGCACGTAAAAGTACAAGTTTAAATCAATATTTAACGGTACAGTGGACGCTTGGGTTGCGAACGTGATCCGTGCGGGATGCACATTTGCAAGCCACAGCTGCGCGTCTGCACACGCGCGGGTTGCAATTCGGCTCTTCTGCGCATGCGCAAAGCGTGATTTAGCACTTCTGCGCATGCGCAATCGCCGAAACCCGGAAGTAACCCATTCCGGTACTTCTGGGTTTCGGCAGTTCGTAACCTGAAAAAACGCAACCTTAAGTGTCTGTAACCCAAGATAAAGGTAAAGGGTCCCCTGACAATAAGGTCCAGTCGTGACCAACTCTGGGGTTGCGGCACTCATCTCGCTTTATTGGCCGAGGGAGCTGGCGTACAGCTTCCGGGTCATGTGGCCAGCAGGACTAAGCCGCTTCTGGCGAACCAGAGCAGTGCACTGAAAGGCCGTTTACCTTCCCGCCGGAGCGGTACCTATTTATCTACTTGCACTCTGACGTACTTTCGAACTGCTAGGTTGGCAGGAGCAGGGACTGAGCAATAGGAGCTCACCCCGTTGCGGGGATTTGAACCACCAACCTTCTGATCGGCAAGTCCTAGGCTCTGTGATTTAACCCATAGTGCCACCCACATCCCTAGATATGACTGTATAATTATTTAAGGTTGTTATTATTATTATTATTATTATTATTATCATCATCATCACTATTACCTTTTCTTTGTACGTGTATTTAAGATTGTGTATGATATCATGGACTTCAATTAATAACAATATAAAAGTGGGGGGAAAGGAAGTGGCCAATGAGGTGCCCTGAAGATGGACTACAACTCCCATCATCCCTGACCGGCTGCGGCCAATGGGAGTTGCACTCCAAAGCATTGGGAGGACTATACCTGTAGCACATCAAAATAGTTGTCCCTGCCCTGAACACTGTACAGCATTGCAAAGGATTATGGGAGAGACCCTGGGAGGCAACTGTCCTGGAGGGGCTTTTCTCGCCCGACATTTCGAGTCGCCACTCACCTTCCTCGCAGTTCCGGCCGTGGAATCCATCAGGACAAAGGCACTCGTACTCGTTCGGCTCGTTGTTTGCACAAGTGCCGCCGTTTTTGCACGGACGGTGAGACCCGCAGTAGTTCAGATCTGGGCAGGGAGGAAAGCTCAGGTGATTCCTTGGTTCCAGTGAGCTTGCATCTTTCCATCATGAGGTCCAGCGCCGAGGGCCTTCTGGCGGTTCCCTCATTGCGAGAAGCAAAGCTACAGGGAACCAGGCAAAGGGCCTTCTCGGTAGTGGTGCCCGCCCTGTGGAACGCCCTCCCATCAGATGTCAAAGAGATAAACAACTACCTGACATTTAGAAGACATCTGAAGGCAGTCCTGTTCAGGGAAGTTTTTAATATGTGATATTTTAATGTATTTTTATCTTTGTTGGAAGCGGCCCAGAGTGGCTGAGGAAACCCAGCCAGATGGGCGGGGTACAAATAATAAATTATTATTATTATTATTATTATTATTATCATTGCTGTAAAGGTAAAGGGACCCCTGACCACTAGGTCCAGTCGTGGCCGACTCTGGGGTTGTGGCGCTCATCTCGCTTTACTGGCCGAGGGAGCCAGCGTACAGCTTCCGGGTCATGTGGCCAGCATGACTAAGCCGCTTCTGGTGAACCAGAGCAGCGCACGGAAACGCCGTTTACCTTCCCGCTGGAGTGGTACCTATTTATCTACTTGCACTTTGACGTGCTTTCAAACTGCTAGGTTGGCAGGAGCAGGGACCGAGCAACGGGAGCTCACCCCGTCGCGGGGATTCGAACCACCGACCTTCTGATTGGCAAGTCCTAGGCTCTGTGGTTTAACCCTCAGCGCCACCCATGTCCCATATTGTGCTTTGATGTACTAAGTATCCCCAGTCTATTGGCACGTATGAAGGGCACTTCTATATATCTGACAGCGGCCTTGCTATCAATAACGTTTATGAAGGATTTGCTGGAGTACCAGCTTGTTTATCAGCAAAATGACAACTGCGTGCTTCAATTCTTCCTTAATATACCTGTTTCAGGTTCAGGACGCACACATATCTGGGTGTATATCACAGTAGGGATTGTCATGCTTTGGCTGCTGTGTTGCATAATTAGTTTAGAAAAACTAAAGAGAAGAAACCCCAATTTAACCTTGCCGCTCAGCAAATGGACCTCTGCTTCTTGGATCATCAGAGGTACAAGAAAAGTAGAAGAGGCCCATCCAGCAGAGAAAATGGCGACTCTCTTATCCCTGGGAATAAAAACTTCGCAATGTGTGGCTTCAGCGCAGAAGCTGCAGGATCTTGACCTCTCTGGGTCTTAGAAGTATTTATTGTTGGGTTTTTTTGTATCTTTAGTATATAGATCTTACTGTGGTTTATGTGGAAATTGTTCAGTTTGGTTGAGTATTTAATATTTAATGTATTGTTTATGACCAATTTTGTTATGTTGTAGTTACGTATTTTTTCATTTTGTAAGCTGCCTTGAGCATGGTTTGAACTGTGCAAAGGCGGCATACAAATAAAATTATTTATGTATGTATCTACTTGTTTGGGCCTGACTCTGCTCCCTTCTCTGGCTTACCATCGCCAGGCTTACTGGAGACAAATTTAGTGACCGATTTCCAAGTGCAACACAAAATAATTTAAAACAAAGGACCCTGTCAGTAGAACATGAAAAGCAATGGCAAAGTACCCCAGAGGTTGAGTTCAACAAGAGTCATAGAGTAGCCTGGGGAAAATTCCAGACTGGCCAATTTCCAATAGAAGCCAAGCCTCTACTGAGCATGCTCCAAGTGGGGGGGGGGCTCACCTTTGTTGCAGAGGATGCCCCCCCAGTTGGTCTCGCAGTCGCACTTCCAAGGCTCGGTGCAGCTGCCATGAACGCAGCCTGGGAAAAGAATGCACTCGTCGCAGAGTTGACCGGTCCACCCATAGTGGCACCTGGGAGGAGGAAGGGGAAAGCTCAGAGCAGCACAGTGGTTATGAGCGGGAGATGTGAGCCAGCCAGCCAGCTCTAATCTGAGCGGAGAGATGGCCTCGTCACGCAGTTATTGGCTTCATCGTTTTAAATGTATAATGCTAGTCTCACTTGAGAGCATCTTTTTTTAAAATACAGTGGTACCTCGTGTTAAGTACTTAATTCGTTCCGAATGTCTGTTCTTAACCTGAAACTGTTCTTAACCTGAAGCACCACTTTAGCTAATGGGGCCTCCTGCTGCTGCTGCGCCACCGGAGCACAATTTCTGTTCTCATCCTGAAGCAAAGTTCTTAACCTGAAGCACTATTTCTGGGTTAGCGGAGTCTGTAACCTGGAGAGTATGTAACCTGAAGCGTCTGTAACCCGAGGTACAACTGTAAAGGTAAAGGGACCCCTGACCATTAGGTCCAGTCATGGCTGACTCTGGGGTTGTGGCGCTCATCTCACTTTACTGGCCGAGGGAGCCAGCGTACAGCTTCCGGGTCACGTGGCCAGCATGACTAAGCCGCTTCTAGTGAACCAGAGCAGCGCATGGAAACACCGTTTACCTTCCCGCCGGAGCGGTACCTATTTATCTACTTGCACTTTGACGTGCTTTTGAACTGCTAGGTTGGCAGGAGCAGGGACCGAACAATGGGAGCTCACCCCGTCGCGGGGATTCGAACCGCCGACCTTTGGATCGGCAAGCCCTAGGCTTTGTGGTTTAGACCACAGCGCCACCCGCGTCCCTAATACCTCCTCTCTAAATGCGATTCCTCTCTTTCTCCCTGGCCGTTCTGGAACTGCCTCCCAGAATGGACTGGCTGATGCCATCTCTCTCCCCCCCTCCCCCCCTCTCCCCCCCCCCTGTCTCTTCCTCCAAGCCCCTCCTCAGAATCTACTGTTTTGAGTAAAGTCCTCTGGCACAACCCCCTGGCACAAGCAACTGAATAGACAGCTATGTTCTAGAAAAACAACTACCAGACATTCCGAAGACATCTGAAGGCAGCCCTGTTTAGGGAAGCTTTTAATGTTTAACAGGCCATTGCATTTTAATATTTTGTTGGAAGCCGCCCAGAGTGGCTGGGGAAACCCAGCCAGATGGGCGGGGTAAAAATAATTAATTATTATTATTATTCCTCGTTTACATCTGCCTCAGTTTCGCACCCCTTCCATCTGTGGTCTTCCCTGTGTCAAATTTTAGACTGTAAGTGGCTCGGGGCAAGGGACTGTTCTTTTGTCCTCATCATGCAGTGATGGCATTAATTAATAATAGAAGATGGGTTGAGTTTACTGCTTTTGGGCAGCTGTGCCCAAAGCAGCTTACAACAAACATTCGAAACATAAAAGTACAGAGGGGGAGGGGGATAACAAATATACATATTACAGAGCATGTCAGCAAATTCCTATAAAGTCATACCTCATGTTATGTCCGCTTCATGTTACGTTCTTTCAGGTTACGTCCCGCAGCGACCAGGAAGTACCAAAAAGGGTTACTTCCGGGTTTCGCCGCTTGCGAATGCGCAGAAGCATAAAACGACATCACACGCATGCGCAGAAGTGGCGAATCGCAACCCGCGCATGCGCAGACGCACCGCTGCGGGTTGCACTCTTTTCATGTTGCGAACGGGCCTCCGGAACAGATCCCGTTCGCAACCAGAGGTACCACTGTATAATTAACAACAACAGCAACAACACATGACATGTGCAACAGGGGAAGAAATGGCAGATACTTATCGTATTAAGGAATTGCACAGAGCGGGGGAGAGAGAGAGGAGTTTCTTCCTCCCCTTTTCCTAACGCTAGTAGTCATTGGAGTCACACAATGACACTGGTTCACAGGAGATCGGAGAGGCCGACAGGCGTAGTGTTAACCTCTGGGACTCACCGCCACAACGCGGTGATGGGCACTAGCTAAGACGCCTTCCATCAGCCCTTCCCCGCCTGAGGGGGCGGGGAAGGAAGCGAGAGAGACTCTCGCCCACGCCGCCCGCGAGCCCGGAGGCGGCAGCCGTGGTGGCAGCTGAGGAGGCGGCCTGAGGGAGAAGAGGAGGGGATGGGGAGGGACGCAGAAGGGCACTGTTTCAGCATCTGCCGCGGCACCACAACCACCTCATGCCGGATTGACAGCATCTGTCAATCCTACCAACGTATGTAACTCTTTACAACAGCAAAATCCCTTACAGTGGTGCCCTGCAAGACGAATGCCTCGCAAGACGGAAAACCCGCTAGACAAAAGGGTTTTCTGTTTTCAATGCGCTTCGCAGGACGAATTTCCCTATGGGCTTGCTTCGCAAGACGAAAATGTCTTGCGAGTCTTGAGATTTTTTTTCGCTCCCCCCCCTTTTTCTAAGCCGCTAAGCCGCTAATAGCCTTTTAGCAGCTAATCCGCTAAGCCGCTAAGCCTTTAATAGCCGCTAAACTGCTAATAGCGCTAATCCGCTAAGCCGCTAATAGGGTTGCTTCGCAAGACGAAAAAACCGCTAGACGAAGATACTTGCGGAACGGATTAATTTCGTTTTGCGAGGCACTACTGTATTTTGGCTGCTGATCCCTTATTTTCGAGGCTGCTGGTCCCTTATTTTCAAATCTGTACATTGACAGCTATGCTCCTGCGTCAATGCAGAACAGAGACAACAACTGCTTTACCCTAAAGAATTGTGAGGGCCATCGCCCGTCCAGGGTGCTGAGAGGTGTTAGGAGACACAGACACCCCATTCCCCGCACAAAGCTACAATTCCCAGAGCGGTTTGACAACCAATCCTTCTTCGCAGGGAACTCTGGGAATTGTAGTTCTCTCTCTGTGTGTGTGGGAACCTGGGTCTCCTAACCACTCTCAGCACCCTGAACAAACTACAACTCCCAAGATCCCCTGGGGGAAGGCGTGGCTGTCTAAATGAGGGTCACAGCACTTGAAAACAGATGATGTAAATATGTCATCAGGAACTTTTGCTATCTTTGACACAGCCGTTGCTCGGTTTGGCTCCCCCCCAAGCTTGCCAAAAAAAGCCTTCTTGCCCCACCGGGGCCATCACGCTGGGCGGCCGGTCAAGATCCTGGCCCCTGCCCAGCCTTCCCAATCAGGGGCTGGGCCTCCTCGTAACCGCAGTCGGTGCCGCACCCCATCCTTATCGGCCCTGGGATCCAAGGGTGACATCATTTTTCCTGGCCGGGACCCAGAACTTCCTTCTCCTCCCAGCGGGGTTTGGCTAGCTGTTTCCTGCCCTAGGCCATTGCCCCGGCGTTGGAGGGGAGCTGCCGGGCTTCCAGTTGCCGGGGCCGGCCAGGAAATCGGCTCTTTGGGGGCGAGGGGAGAATTTGGGAAGCAGGGAAAGGGGGAGAGGTAACCCAGTTCCCAAACATTATGCACCTCGCAGGGCTGTGTAATCCAATTTCACGCATAGAAAACCCACTGAAAGTAATAATAAATAATAATAAGAAAATTTTATTTATATCCCGCCCTCCCCAGCCAAAGCCGGGCTCAGAGAGGCTAACAGCAGTAAAATAATACAGCATTCTAAAATCAATTCATTTTAAAATCAGTTCAAAATCAATTTAATGGCAACCATTGGGCTAGAGTTCTGTGAGGATTACCAAAGGAGGGGGTCAGGCTGTGCCTTGGCCAAAGGCCTGGTGGAACCGCTCTGTCTTGCAGGCTCTGCGGAAAGATGTCAAGACCCGCAGGGCCCTAGTCTCTTGTGACAGAGTGCTCCATCAGATCGGGGCCACGGCCGAAAAAGCCCTGGCTCTGGTTGAGGCCAGCCTAACCTCTCTGTGGCCTGGGACCTTCAAGATGTTTTTATTTGAAGACCGTAAGGTCCTCCGTGGGACATACTAGGAGAGGCGGTCCCGTAGGTACGAGGATCCTAGGCCGTATAGGGCTGGTCAAAACCAGCACCTTGAACCTGATCCTGTACTCCACCAGGAGTCAGTGCAGCTGGTAAAGCACTGGATGAATGTGATCCCACGGCAAGGACCCCGTAAGAAGTCTCAGCGCGGCATTCTGCACCCGCTGGAGTTTCTGGGTCAGTCTCAAGGGCAGCCCCACGTAGAGCGAGTTACAATAATCAAGTCTGGAGGTGACCGTCGCATGGATCACAGTGGCTAGGTCAGGGCGAGAGAGGTAAGGGGCCAACTGCTTAGCCCCTGATTTCAACAGGCTACATCCACACGGCACATTTAAAGCACTACGATACCACTTTAAACACACATGGCTTCTCCCAAAGAATGCTGGGAAGTGTAGTTGGTTAAGGGTGCTGAGAGATGTTAGCAGACCCCCTCTGTTCCTCTCACAGTGCCGCAATTCCCAGAGTTCTCTGAGAAAGAGGGGTTATTATTGGTTATTATTGGTTGGTGGTTAAACCACTCTGGGAGCCGTGGGTCCGTGAGGGGAATTGGGGCCTCCTGGCAACTCTCAGCGCCCTTGACAAACTACAAGTCCCATAATTCTTTGGAAGGGAGAAGCCATCGCTACTACTGTTCCCAGGGTGTGTTGAACCACCCTGGGAACCGTAGCTGTGTGAAGGGAATAGGGGTCTCCCGGCAATTCTCAGCACCCTTATCAAACTACCGCTCCCAAAATTATTTGGGGGGAGGAAGGTGTGACTGTTTAAAGTGGGATTGTAGTGTTGTGTCCAGAAACATGTGCAAAATCCTGAAGGGACTGACAACTTAAATTCATAGGTAGCCGTTTTTGAAAGGAATGGCACGGGCTGCCCCTGTCCTAATGGGCCAAGTCTAAAGTCTTCTCTTTCGTCTATAAAGCACTACACACCTCAGGACCAGGTTATTTTAAGAGACCACCTTGCCCTCTCCTCAATAGCCCCACCTGGTGCCTGAGCTCAGCTGAGGGGGCCAGCCTGGCAGTGCCACGTAGCCAGTGGGAGCAGGGCCTTCATTGTGGTGTCACCCACATTAGAGAACTCTGTCCCCGTGAGACAGGCACCTCCTGTTCTGTGCTTTTGAAAGCCTCTCTTTTTAATCACTCCTTCCCCAGCTGAATTGTTGTTTTTGGTTTGTGGCCAATACGATCTACAACGCAGGATTTGTATTATTATTTTTTATTGAATTTATATACCGCCCTTCATCTGTAGATCACTTCTTCTTCTTTTTACGATTTTCAGGTTTATACATTTCAGTAATTTTTCAGCCATTTTAACATTTCAAAACTTGAGTTCCTTCCCCCTCTTTCTGTGGATCCTTAAATTTATTTTTAATATCTTCTGCATATCCAAACTAACTCAATTTGTTCATTTATTCGTCTGCTTTAAATATATACTCTTGCGAAACTGCAGGTTAGTACAATAATCCTGCCAATGTTCTTATCTGTTTTACAATTTGTCTGCAAATATTCAATAAACCATTTCCATTCTTTTTTTAATAAAAAGTTTGTTATCTCAATTTCTTATTTTTCCGGTAAGCTGCGCCATTCATCCACACTCAGTTGTACATACTTGCATTCTCCAGGCTCCTCACAGGTCCCATGAGTTTCGTGACAACCCGGCCGGCAAATGGCTGCAAGAAACACGAGGGGAGTTTATGTGAGCGTTGCAAATTCAGCCCAGGGCACAGCGATGATAATCATCACCATTACGATCTAATAAATTTATAAATCTAAAAGACAATCCAGATAATTAAAAGCCATAGGCCTGGCAGAAAAGAAGTGAGTGAGTCTCTGTGAGAGAGAGTTTCCACAAGCGGGGAGCCACCACAGAAAAGGCCCTTTCCGGTGGTGCCACCCTCCGGACCTCTCATGAAGAATGATAATCAGATGATAATCGCAGGGTCTGGGACAGTTCCTAGGGGGAGAGGCATTGGGGTCCTTGAGGCATTGGGGTCCTGAGCTGCGCCAGGCTTTATAGGTCAAAACAAGAAGTCAAATTTCCCAGATGTCTGCTCCAAAGGTAAGCATTTAGGAGCACTGAAACGCAAGGTGCTTCTGTTTCAAGGGACAGGTTCTATTAGATAACAATGAAACTTCACAGCAAACACAGCTTAGGTCACTTGGAAAGAAGATATCTGAGCACTCCAAATCACCTGCCCAAGTACATGCACAGAAAATAGTAGAACTAGCTGAAACTGATCATTGCTAGCAGTGTTTGAAACTGAGATATGAAGGTAAAGGTAAAGGGACCCCTGACCATTAGGTCCAGTCATGGCCGACTCTGGAGTTGCGATGCTCATCTCGCTTTATTGGCCGAGGGAGCCAGCATACAACTTCCGGGTCATGTGGCCAGCATGACTAAGCCGCTTCTGGTGAACCAGAGCAGCACACAGAAACGCCGTTTACCTTCCCGCCCGAGCGGTACCTATTTATCTACTTACACAGGTGTGCTTTCGAACTGCTATGTTGGCAGGAGCAGGGACCGAGCAATAGGAGCTCACCCCGTCGCGGGGATTTGAACCGCCGACCTTCTGATCAGCAAGCCCTAGGCTCTGTGGTTTAACCCACAGTGCCACCCGAAAGCTAGGAGCTAAATGGCACCTAGGTTATGAGCACAACGGAATGTCTAGACACGCTTTTTTTAATAACAGGAATACAGTATTGAAAATGAATGAACAGCTAAAACATTATGTTCATTTTTCACATGATCTAGTAGTCCTTCCCCTGCCCACCCTCTAATATGCTTATGAGGGTCTCCTCTCCAGTCTTCAGAGAGTAGCTGGAAGTGGGGAGGCAGAAAAAGGTCCTCCTTTTCTTCCACTCTGCAGTTTTAATTTGAAATCTTAGGCGCACTGCTCAGAAACTGCTCGTGCTCATTAAATTCCCTGTCGCTAAATGTGCCTAGAACAACGGGAGTTTTGAACGCTGGTTGCAAGGTGTTGCTGATTATTATTATTGCATAACTGTAAGTTTATTGTACAGTCTTAAAAAGCTGTCTAATCGTTGAAGGGACATGGCTGTGAGGGGCCATGGGACCCTACACTTCTGAATTTGCCACTACACAAGTGTTTCCTAGTTCTGCTGGATCTCTCAGCAGCCTTTGACACCATTGACCATAACATCCTTCTGGACCGTCTAGAGGGGCTGGGAGCTGGGGGCACTGTTATACAGTGGTTCTGCTCCTTCCTCCTGGGCCATGTTGAGAAAGTGGTGGTGGAGGATGAGTGTTCAGACCCCTGGGCTCTCACTTGTGGGGTGCCTCAGGGTTCCGTCCTCTCCCCCATGCTTTTTAATATCTATATGAAGCCACTGGGAGAGATCATCAGGGGATTTGGACTGGGTGTTCATCAATATGCGGATGATACCCAGCTCTACCTCTCTTTCAAATCGGAACCAGTGAAGGCAGTGAAGGTCCTGTGTGGGTGCCTGGAGGCGGTTGGAGGATGGATGGCGGCTAACAGATTGAGGTTGAATCCTGACAAGACAGAAGTACTGTTTTGGTGGGACAGGAGGCGGGCGGGTGTGGAGGACTCCCTGGTCCTGAATGGGGTAATTGTGCCCCTGAAGGACCAGGTGCACAGCCTGGGAGTCATTTTGGACTCACAGGTGTCCATGGAGGCACAGGTCAATTCCGTGTCCAGGGCAGCTGTTTATCAGCTCCATTTGGTACGCAGGCTGAGACCCTACCTGCCCACAGACTGTCTCGCCAGAGTGGTGCATGCTCTGGTTATCTCTCACTTGGACTACTGCAATACGCTCTATGTGGGGCTATCTTTGAAGGTGACCCAGAAACTGCAACTAATCCAGAATGCGGCAGCTAGACTGGTGACTGGGAGCAGCCGCCGAGACCATATAACACTGGTCTTGAAAGACCTACACTGGCTCCCAGTACGTTTCCAAGTACAACGCAAAATGTTGGTGCTGACCTTTAAAGCCCTAAACGGCCTCGGTCCAGTATACCTGAAGGAGCGTCTCCACCTCCATCGTTCTGCCTGGACACTGAGATCCAGCTCCGAGGGCCTTCTGGCGGTTCCCTCACTACGAGAAGCCAAGTTACAGGGAACCAGGCAGAGGGTCTTCTTGGTAGTGGCACCCGCCCTGTGGAACGCCCTCCCACCAGATGTCAAAGAGAAAAATAACTACCAAACTTTTAGAAGACATCTGAAGGCAGCCCTGTTTAGGGAAGCTTTTAATGTTTAATAGGTTATTGTATTTTAGTGTTTTGTTGGAAGCTGCCCAGAGTGGCTCGGGAAACCCAGCCAGATGGGCGGGATATAAATAATAAATTATTATTATTATTATTATTATTATTATTATTATTATTAATGAATCAATGAAGGGGCTGGGTAGGATCGAAGCAGAGCCTCAGGTTCTCTTTCCCAGATCTGTGGATGCGTAACAAAGCTTCATTACTGCCAGGAGGCCGGGATGGAAAATGGCACCCAGTGCCGGACTCCTGGGTTCTCTCCCCACCCTCCCTCAATGCAGCCCCTTCTTCCTCTCCTCCACCCCGTGCCAGCCGGACGTCCCGGGACATACCCCGTGTACATTCGTCTCCCGTCCAGCCGTCCAGACAGACCTTGTTGCCCGCAGCGTCGCAGCTGTGGTGCCCGAAGAAATCGTCGCGGGGCCGGCACAGGAAGTTGCAGGCCGGGCCGTAGTAATGCTCTTGGCAGCGCACCCGCACCCGGTACTCCAGCGAGGTGCTGCGCCCGTGATGCCACAGGTCCTGCCAGCCTTCGCCAGGGTTCAGCATTCCCGAACGGGTCACCCGCTCCATCAGCTGCCCTCCGCCTGGAAGGAGAGGGCGAGAAAGGCAAGGGGGCGGGAGCTGAGACTCACTGCATCACCCGGCGAATTTCCAAAGACAAAGGCAGAGGTGGAAGACCCAAAACTGCCTGGGTGCATCAGAAGGGAGGAAGCTAACTTGCAGCCAGTCGGGCCACTGGTCCACCAAGCTCAATAATAATAATAATAATAATAATAATAATAATAATAATAATATTTTTTTATTTATTTATATCCCGCCCTCCCCAGCCGAAGCCGGGCTCAGGGTGGCTAACAACAACACAATAGTGCTTTTCAGTGTTTTAAATTTGTTGTTAGCCGCCCTGAGCCCTGTTTTTTGAACTGAGAAGGGCGGGGTATAAATAAAAAATTATTATTATTATTATTATTATTAGACAGCTAAGGAGCTCTGCTGGATCAGATGAAAGGCAGTTCACCTAGACCTCCATCATGGGCAGTGAGGTAGCCCTAGGAAACCCACAAGCAAGCAGGGTTTGAAGGCAAGAGACCTCCTTTGCTGCAACTGATATTCAGGGGTAGACTGCTCTGAACATAGCTGTCAACTTACAGAGTTGAAAATAAGGGACCAGCAGCCTCGAAAATAAGGGATCAGCAGCCAAAATAAGGGATCAACAATTACTTTGCTAAAATACATATTTTGTTGCGTGCAAATGGCTTTAGATACCTATTAGGTCCATAAATTACCATATAGCACATATTCAACACAAAAAAACAGCAACAATTTGTTATTGACAAAGGACAGTTGGACACAGAAAGGGCCCCATTACCTTAAGGGACATCATCAATAAGGGACAGCAGCGGGACATGGCGCTGGGATAAAGGACTGTCCCGCCAAATAAGGGACGCTTGACAGCTATGGCTCTGAACATGGAGGGTCTCAAAATCCTAACCGTGTCCCTGTCTGGAACCCCACCCTGCTGGCTCCCCCAGGTGAGAGAGCAGCTCCTTACCCTGGCTGGTGACGTCAGAAGCATTGGCGGCATCCCAGGCCTCCAGTACCAGAGAGTACGAGCGCTAGAAGGAACAAGGCATTTGGTTACGGGAGATTTTCATCCTGGGACACCATACATGTAAAGCACCATGATCCCAATTTAAACAGCCATGGCTTCCCCCCAGCTCAAAAAGAAGCCTAGGAGTTGTAGTTTGTTAAGGGCGATCTGACCTTTGCTATAAAGGACTAATAATTTTTCTTTTTGTAGGAACATGCCAAGCAGTGGCACAGAACTGGAGAGCATTTTGTTTTTCTCGTTGGAAACAGAATGTATGGTCAACAGCTGAATCAGGAAAAACTGGCAAAGAGATTGCATGCGTTGAATAATGCAAATGCCGGAAATTATTCTGATGAAATATAGCCTCCTTTTATAAAACATTTTACTGAAGAATGGAAACCACCGAAATCACAGATTGGACTTCAGCAAACTTAAATACTGTAGACTGAACCGTCCCGGAGGAGGATAAAATGGGATTTTGCTTCTGTATTTTTGCTTTTTTCCCTTTTTAATTGTTGTTATACAATGGAAATCATTAAAACTATATTTTATCTTTTAAAAAGGGGTGCCGAGAGTCATTAGGACACCTCTAATTCCCCTCACTTGTTGTTTAGTCGTTTAATCGTGTCCGACTCTTCGTGATTCTCCTCACAGATTCCCAAAATTCCCTGAGAAGAGAGATGGATTGTAAAACCACTCTGGGAACTGGAGGTCTGTGAGGGGAACTGTGGTCTCCTGACATCTCTCAGCACCCTTCACAAACTACAGCTCCCAGAATTCCTTGGGGGAGGAGCCATGACGGTTTTGAGTGCTATCACGGTGCTTAAAAAACTGGCATGCCCCATTTCCCAGAAGCTGCAAAGAGGGTGGGGAAGGGGCTCTCTCTCCAGCAGCCATCCCAGTAGGACCAGCCAAAGACCTTTTGCTGAACAAAGTGTTAACGGAGAAATCTGAGGGCTCCCTTGGACAAAAAACAAGGACACCAGCCAGGAATACCAGTGCAAAACAGCAGCCAGTAGGTTTGGTCTTTATTGAAGACTGTCGCGACAGGACTCCCACCTGCCACCAGGTGGAACAAGATGGAAGCCCCAAACAAAAGAGCCCCCAAACTTTTATTAGCTGCTCATCCCCATGTTACACCCCCCCCTCAAACTACATCACTAATACATTTGGTTACATCATGAAAGGGGAGGTCTGGGGGCAGTAATCTGAGCATCCTGGACCCTGCCCCATGGTTCTCCTTGCCCTCCACCAAACACCCATCGAGTGAAGCAAAAGAGATCTTTACATTTCCCTGTTTCCCAGCCAAGTTAATCACACCCTTTTGTCTTCATCTGGGTTTGCTATTTCTGAACTGGCTACCTGTCTGGCACTCAGGTATCAGGATGCCAGGGATTATCACTCAGGCAGAGGGGCTGCTGAGCAGCTGAGCTCACATGTCTATATGAATTTCTGAAGTTTTCCCAGTGAGCCTGTACATAGATGCATTTATCAGTGAATTGTTACATTTGGTATTGTGCAGCAAAGACCCTTTGAATAGATAGGAAGAAACTACGATGGGGTGTTTTATGGGGACAAATCACAAAAGTCACAAAAGCGATTGTGCTGGTTTGGGTAGTGGGCTGCATGTGCATGATATCTGCTGGAGGGGCAACCCCCCCCCCCAACCTATACATAAATTCCTGCAACAAAGGTGAATGACAAGATGGCGGCCCCAACGTCTACCCCATTCCAGATACAGAAGCCAACTGGGCAGGCCGTCAAATCTTAATCCAACACTGGTGACAGGACAGCGTGCTCCATAACACCTGAGGCGCAAATTTAGGGGCAGGGCAGCAACATGGCCAGTCCTCCAGCAGAGGGGCTTGTTACTCCCCACGCCCCAAGCATTTTGCCGCCTGAGGCAGTGGCCTCATTTTGCCTAATGGTAGGGCCGGCTTCACATACCAGAGGAAATAAAGCAGGGCTGCCATATGTCTGGAATTTCCTGAACATAGCCAGGATTCACTCGTCAAAAATGGCGTCCAGGCGGAATTTTTATTATTATTATTATTATTTGTTGAATTTATATATGCTGCCCTATACTCGATTTCGTAAATCATTTTAAATGTCCAGGGAAACCTGCCCATATTGGAGGTGTAGATTTTTTTTTGGCAATTTCCCTAAAAAATAGCTTTAAAACTTCTTCTTCTTTACAAAAAATAAACTCAAGAGCTTTGGCCAAGAAGGAAGCTCAACAACTTTTGTGTTCCGATTTTCATTTTTTGAAATATGGCAACCCTAAAATACCAGGTTCAATGGTATTTCCTTGTATTAATTTACCAAGCCCTGCACCCTCAAATCACAGCTCGATCACCGAGATCAACTGCAGGAACATCGTTCGTTGTTTCCCGAGTTTGTGAGGCTTATTTGACAATGACAAAAAACCCCGAGCCTTTAGTGTCACCAGCCCGGTCCTATGGAACTCTCTGCCACTAGAGATTCAGCAAGCATCTTCTGTTTCAACTTTTGAACACCAGCTGAAAACTCTTCCATCCCACCCAGGCCTACGCAGGCAATTCACAGAATGCATTTTCATCCCTTTATTTAATATATAGCAGAACCATCATTTTCAAGACAACCCCCATCAAAGCCAGGCAAATCTGGAACTAGACTTGGATGATCTGATAACGTCAATCGTCTTTACTTGGACTTTGTTATTATTTTAACTCGCGCACAAAGTACTCATTCCTCGTGGCTATTCGACAGTTTCGGTTTTCATCTTTTAATTTCCATCCATCGTTATAAAATGAAATAGTAATTACTAAAGCAGGGTTGAGCAGTAAACGCGCTTTCACTTTGAAGTAAATGATTCTTTACTGGTGCAACCCCTCCAGTTCATATGCAGTTCATTAGGAATGTATTGTGATTTTATGTGTGAATCACCCTGAGATCTACAGATTAACAACAACAACAATCTTACCGCCCCCCCCCAAAAAAAAGCCCTTAACAAAATACAACTACCAGGACTCTTTGGATAAAGGGCTGTGTCCAAATATAACAACAATAATAACTTCATCCAAAAAGGATACATTTTCCCACAACGCTTAGCTGATTCCCGATTTTAACTTTTAAAAAATATTGCTTTTATTGTACGGCTTCTATGTACATTTGTTGTAAACCACTCTGGTGTTGTTGTTTTTTTTTGCAAACAAACAAATATTTTATAATATTTATAAAGATTTTTATAAATAAAATTTCGGATCTGGGTGGGGCAGATGGCTGCACACATTTTAGGGAGGTGGAAACTGAGGCACACGAAAGAGAACAAAGGATCGGTGGACAGAATCCAGGAGTCCGGGTTCCCAAAATCCCAACGCACCCGCGCGCACACACACACGGTCCATTCCAACTCTATGACATACCCCTTTCGCGCATTACAAAATTCTCCCAACGCTTCATCTACACTTGAGGAGATCTGGAGACAAACAAGAGAACGTCTCCCTGGCTCTGAGCTGTAGCCCTCGGACACCACTCCCTCAACCACCACCAGAACTCCAAAGCTGGGAAGAGAGCTCCGAGAGATTGGCAAGGTTCCTCGCAAATTCCTTCTGCCCACACAAAGATCTAGTTTTGGCACACAAGAGAGAGGAAAGGAAAGGGAGAGTCGCAAGCCCTGATCGCCCCCACAGCTCCCCTTTCGGGGAAACCCAGCTTTGCTCGCAGGTTGGGCAGATGGAATATGTTCACACAGGAATTCGGATCTGAAATTGGATCGGATCTGTCGAAACAGAGCTCAAGGGGGGGCGGGCACTCAACAGAAAGCCAACCCAAACCCTGACTTGGAAACGCGTCTCGTGAGATTTCCCACACTTGAGAAACCCGATAGATACAAGGAAACAATGAGGGTTGTGGTCAACACGAGTCCTACTCAGAGTAGACCCTCTGGAATTAATGTAAAGGTAAAGGGACCCCCTGACCATTAGGTCCAGTCGTGGCCGACTGTGGAGTTGCGGCGCTCATCTCTCTTTATTGGCCGAAGGAGCCGGCATACAGCTTCCGGGTCATGTGGCCAGCATGACTAAGCCGCTTCTGGCGAACCAGAGCAGCGCACGGAAACGCCGTTTACCTTCCTGCTGGAGCGGTACCTATTTATCTACTTGCACTTTGACGTGCTTTGGAACCGCTAGGTTGGCAGGAGCTGGGACAGAGGAACGGGAGCTCACCCCGTCGCAGGGATTCGAACCGCCGACCTTCTGATCTGCAAGTCCTAGGCTCTGTGGTTTAACCCACAGCGCCACCCGCATCCCATGGAATTAATGTAGGTCCATTCATTTCAGTGGGGGGTCTACTCTGGCTGGACAAAACCCCAAGGACCTGCTCCCCAAAATTTAGAATATTCTTCAGATGAGTTGCATCAAATGGGAGCGAAGGGCCTGCATATTCCTTTAAGCAGCCAGGAACGAGCTACCGTATTTTCCCGCATATAAAACTAGGGTGTTTTCTTTAAAAATTCGTTTTCATATTTGCCCTCGTCTTATACATGGGTAGCGCATTGGGGGGGCCATTTGGTTGCAGCCGTGAGCAGGAGATTTTCTGCGGCGACAGGGCGGGTGATCGGTGGGTCTGTGAAGGGCTGTTTGTGATTGACTGTCTCTTGATTGGCGGCTGTGTGTCTTCAGGATCGTTAGCGGCGGGTGAGCGATTGTCCACAATTCCACCCCAAAAACAGCTCAACAGCTCTGCCAGCGATGGGAAAGACGGAAGACGGATTTAGCAATGTATGTGGGTGAGCGGTTTTTGGCAACCCCCCCCCAAAGAAAGATCAACAGCTCTGTGTCATCTCCGCCCCCCCCCCATTTTCTTAAATTGGAGTCCCCCAAATTGGGGTAGTCTTATACACGGGGGCGTCTTATTGACGGAAAAGTACGGTACTCTTTTCTGCTCCAGAGAGCCCCTGCGAACTTGGGAAAGTTAGAGCCTCAGTTTTGCCATCTGTGAAAGGGGAACACCGGCAGCCTGCCTCACAGGGTTGTTGTGAAGGCAACCAGCTCTGAGCTTGTTCTCCAGAAACTGGTACTCCAAAGAAGCCTGTCTCTGATCTTGGAAGCGTGGCACAACGCACTCCTTGGAGGTTTCTAAGCAGAGGTCGGACGGCCATCTGTCATGGATGTTTTAGTTGAGATTCTTGCATTGCCGGGGGTTGGAGTAGATGACCCCCTTCCAATACAATTCTGAGATTCTATAAGTCCTCATCCTCTGCAACCCTAACCCCACCTGCTCAAGCGGCAGCCCCACTGAAGTCAGACGGATGTACTTCTGAGTAGGATTGCCCCATAAGTTTAAATGCAGGTAACTGCAAGAACCACACTTGACTTTCCAAAACATTTGAAGGCAGCCTTGTAATAATACAGTGGTACCTCAGGTTAAGTACTTAATTCGTTCTGGAGGTCCGTTCTTAACCTGAAACTGTTCTTGACCTGAAGCACCACTTTAGCTAATGGGGCCTCCTGCTGCCGCCGCGCCACTGGTGCACGATTTCTGTTCTCATCCTGAAGCAAAGTTCTTAACCTGAGGTACTATTTCTGGGTTAGCGGAGTCTGTAACCTGAAGCGTATGTAACCTGAAGCATATGTAACCCGAAGTATGACTGTAATAATAATAATAATAATAATAATAATAATAATAATAAATATTTGTACCCCGCCCATCTGGCTGGGTTTCTCCAGCCACTCTGGGCAGCTTCCAACAAAAATTAAAAATACATTAAAATATCACACATTAAAAAATTCCCTTCCCTTGTATTGAGAAGTTTGTAATGCTTAGTGTTTAGTTGTGTTTTTATATTATGTTGGAAGCTGCCCTGAGTGGCTGGAGAAACCCGGTCAGATGGGTAGGGTATAAATCGGGGTCAGCAACCTTTTTCAGCCGTGGGCCGGTCCACTGTCCCTCAGACCATGTGGGGGGCCAGACTATATTTGGGGGGGTGGGGAATGAATGAATTCCTATGCCCCACAAATAACCCAGAGATGCATTTTAAATAGAAGGACACATTCTACTACTACTACTACAGTGGTGCCTCAAAAGACGAAATTAATTCGTTCCGCGAGTCTCTTCGTCTTGCGGTTTTTTCGTCTTGCAAAGCACGGCTATTAGCGGCTTAGTGGCTTAGCGGCTATTAGCGGCTATTAACGGCTTAGCGGCTTTAAGAAAAAGGAAACAAACTCGCAAGAACTCGCAAGACGTTTCGTCTTGCGAAGCAAGCCCATAGGGAAATTCGTCTTGCGGAACGACTCAAAAAATGGAAAACTCTTTCGTCTAGCGAGTTTTTCGTCTTGCGAGGCATTCGTCTTGCGGGGCACCACTGTAATAATAATAATAATAATAATAATAATAATTTATTATTTATGCCCCGCCCATCTGGCTGGGCTTCCCCAGCCACTCTGGGCGGCTCCCAACAGAATGTTAAAAACACAATAAAACATCAAACATTAAAAACTTCCCGAAACAGGGCTGCCTTCAGATGTCTTCTAAAATTCAGATAGTGGTTTATTTCCTTGACATCTGACAGGAGGGCGTTCCACAGGGCGGGCGCCACTACCAAGAAGGCCCTCTGTCTGGTTCCCTGTAGCTTGGCTTCTCGCAGTGAGGGAACTGCCAGAAGGCCCTCGGCGCTGGATCTCAGTGTCCGGGCAGAACAATGGGGGTGGAGACGCTCCTTCAGGTATACTGGACTGAGGCTGTTTAGGGCTTTAAAGGTCAGCACCAACACTTTGAATTGTGCTCGGAAACTTCCTGGGAGCCAATGTAGGTCTCTTGGGACCAGTGTTATATGGTCTCGGCGGCCGCTCCCAGTCACCAGTCTAGCTGCCGCATTCTGGATTAACTGCAGTTTCCGGGTCACCTTCAAAGGTAGCCCCACATAGAGCACATTGCAGTAGTCCAAGCGGGAGATAGCTAGAGAATGCAGCACTCTGGCGAGACAGTCTATGGGCAGGTAGGGTCTCAGCCTGCGCACCAGATGGAGCTGGGAGACAGCTGCCCTGGACACAGAATTGACCTGTGCCTCCATGGACAGCTGTGAGTCCAAAATGACTCCCAGGCTGTGCACCTGGTCCTTCAGGGGTACAGTTACTCCATTCAGGACCAGGGAATCCCCCACACCAGCCCGCCCCTGTCCCCCAAAAACAGTACTTCTGTCTTATCAGGATTCAACCTCATGTAAAAACACGCTGATTCCCGGACCGTCCGCAGACCAGATTGAGAAGGCGAATGGGCCACATCCGGCCACCGGGCCTTAGGTTGCCTACCCCTGGTATAAATAATAATAATAATTATTATTATTATTATTATTCCACTATTTTACCCCATTTTCTCTGTGTCGTTCCCGGCCCCTGCGTTCTCGTTCTTTGCAAAACGCCACGTTTGCAGAAGGCTCTGTTGCTACTCTTTATTCATTACCCTCCGAAGCATTTGAATATTTAAATGCATACCTTCGTACGATCCATTTAAATGAATGCATCCATATTTATTAAACGCAATTAGAACTTTTCAGTGCTCAGCACAGTCTCGGCTCCGGCTTACTGGAATCCTTGGGCGCGAGTGTGCGTGTGTTTGTGTGTGCTGAGTCGAACCCAAGACCCAGCTGTTGGCCTCAGGCTGTGAGCCAGTTGGTTAGGTTTCAGCTCGCTGGCCTGGGACCTGACAGAGCAGGTCAGCACGGGGAGAAACATCTAACAAAAACCACCCCGGGCGTTGTTGTTGTGTTTCCATCTCCTGCCCGCCAGCCAAGCCAATGCTCAGAGATGCTGAAAAGTGCAGTCCTATAAAATCCATAGGGCCACCTCCCTGCTCTCCATGCGTCCCTATTTCCCAGGGACAGTCCTGAATTTACAGAAGCCATCCCAGTTTCTGATTTGATCCCGAAATGTCCCGCTTTTCCTTAGGATGTGTGGCGCTGTTGGGATGCGGGTGGTGCTGTGGGTTAAACCACAGAGCCTAGGACTTGCCAATCAGAAGGTCGGCGGTTCGAATCCCCGCGATGGGGTGAGCTCCCATCGCTCGGTCCCTGCTCCTGCCCACCTAGCAGTTCGAAAGCACGTCAAAGTGCAAGTAGATAAATAGGTACCGCTCCGGCGGGAAGGTAAACGGCGTTTCAGTGCGCTGCTCTGGTTCGCCAGAAGCGGCTTAGTCATGCTGGCCACATGACCCGGAAGCTGGACGCCGGCTCCCTCGGCCAATAAAGCGAGATGAGTGCCGCAACCCCAGAGTTGGTCACGACTGGACCTAATGGTCAGGGGTACCTTTACCTATTTTCATTGGAGAAATGTTGGAGGGTATGGAGTTATGCGACCCCCGAACCAAGGAGATAAGTAAATATACAACCTTTAGGACAGGCATCCCCAACCTTCGGCCCTCCAGATGTTTTGGCCTACAACTCCCATGATCCCTAGCTAACAGGACCAGTGGTCAGGGATGATGGGAATTGTAGTCCAAAACATCTGGAGGGCCGAAGGTTGGGGGTGCCTGCTTTAGAAGAGATCTGCATGGGGAAGTTGTTTAATGTTTTATTATGCTTTATATATGTTGGAAGCGGTCCAGAATGGCTGTGGCCACCCAGTCCGATGGGCGGGGTATAAATAATAAAAATATTATTATTCTTATTATTATTGAACAGGATGTCCCTTTTTTTTAATCAGAGGAAATTTTAGGGGGCTTGGACTCTTAGAACATAAGAAGAACCAATGGTCCATCTCGTCCAGAATCCTGTTCTCACACCAGCTTGTTGGAAACCAGCAATCAGGATTCGAACTCAAGATTCGAACCAGCAACTTTGATGCCTCTGACTGTGGCGGCAGGAGAGAGCCATCGTGGCTAGAAGCCATCACAGGCTTCTCATCCAGCCCTCTTTTAAAGCCACCCAAGTCGGTGGCATCGCAGCCTCCGGTGGCAGGTAGTTCCACAGTCTATGCACTGCATGAAGAAGTCCTTTCTTGTATCTCCGGCTCGCTGGACGTCCACCAGTTCCAGCATTGTGAGAGACACCGAGAAAAGCTTTCCTCTGTCCCGCCTGGTTTTATAAACTTCCACCCCCTCGTCTGTTCTCTAAACTCTTCCCGCTTCCTTTCCGCTGGGGCTGTTGGGAGAACTGGGGTCTGAGCCAACCTCCTCACCGCTGAGCTGGCAGAAAAGCAGCAGGGAGGTTTTCCAAGCCACAAGGTGTGATTTCCTGGAACTCAAGGCAGCCAAAAGAAAGTCCTTCTGCAGCCAAAAGCGTGCTTAAACTACGGAACTCCCTCCCACTAGAGGCAGAGATGGCCTTGGATGGCTTTGAAAGAGGATCAGGGAAATTCGCAGAGGATAAGGCTATCCATGGCTTGTCCTGCCTCCTCTGTAAAGGGCTCTCTGCATGCCAGGCGCTGGGAGTCATTTTCTAATGTTCTGTGGGCATGTTCTGAAATAAAGGTTTTAATCTTAAATTGAATCTGCCTCCCCAGTTTAAACCCCCCACATGCTAAATCCAAACACTCAGTGTTAGGCCACATTCGCAATGCACATATAAAGCACTCTGGTCCCACTCTAAACAGTCATGGCTTCCCCCAAAGGATTCTGGGAGATGTAGTTTAATAATAATAATCAGTGCTGTTCTTCTAGAAAAAATAGGTGCCAAAACACTTCACTTATAACAGCAGTGCCTTCAGATGTCTTCTAAAAATCTGGTAGTTGTTGTTCCCTTGACATCTGGTGGGAGGGCGTTCCACAGGGCGGGTGCCACCACCGAGAAGGCCCTCTGCCTGGTTCCCTGTAACTTGGCTTCTCACAGTGAGGGAACCGCCAGAAGGCCCTCGGCGCTGGACCTCAGTGTCCAGGCAGATGTTGTTGATGATAATTTTATTATTTCTTGCCACCCATCTGAATAGGCTGCCCCCAGCCACTCTGGGAGGCTTCCAACAAAATATTAGAAAAAATATACCGTATATAAGGATGATGGGAGTTGTCTGGAGACCCCCTGATTCCCCTCCCAGAACTAACATTCCCAGAGTGGTTTAACCATCAACCCCTCTTTCACAGGGAACTCTGGGAACTGCAGCTCTGGGAGGGGAACGGGGGTGGGGGGTTCTCCTAATAACTCGGTACCCTAAACAAATGACAACTCCCAGGGGTCTTTGCAGGAAGTCACAACTGTCTAGCGCGGTATCAAAGCGCTTTAAATTTATAGTATGAACATGGTCTTCCTTTGGTCTGCTTTACAGCAGCCTTGCCAGGCTACAGAATGTGGTATCAGGAATCTCTTGAAACTTCCCACCCTGGTTGCCTTGGCTCTCAAATCTCCTAAATCAAGTTTCTAGTCCTTCTAATTATTAAGATAAATGGGTTAGGATGGATGTATTGAATATTATATATGAAATATGCAGCGTTTAAGGGCAAATATGGAAACCGTGGAAGGCAGGTGGGACAGGAAGCCTGCAAAGTGGTGTTTGAAAAATCAATATATATATATATATCTATTAAGTTTCTAGTCCTTAAACTTGGAAGACACGTGGGAGGCACACAATACTTTTCCTCCGCCTTCAATAAACCTCAGCTGAATCGCCTGGCTTAGAGGAAACAACTTGCGGGGCCAAACCAGTTCCCACAGCTCTGCCTTAAAAACATTCACGGGAGGATGTGGGTTTGACCCACGGAAGACCCAGGCCCCGAAATTTGCCCAGGTCTCCACCCGCAGAGCTTTGCCCAGCAGACCCAGAGCGCTGCTGTGGAGAATTAAGCCGTCATCTGGGGAGGAGGCGAGGAAAGTGACTTTGCATCAATTAAGGAGAGAGACTTTAATTAAGTTATTTATCTCCAGATCTCGCTCCTCATCTCTGCCCTCCCCCCACCCCAAAGGGATGGGCAGAATAACACAAAGAGCTGGGAGGGGAGAAGGAGGAGGAGGAATCCCAACCCTTCTTTGCCCTCCCAGCTCTGGAAATCCCCTGGGAGAGAGAGAGAGAAAGAAAGAGAATATCAAAACGGCCACATTATAGGCTCACCTTTCCGCTGCACATGAGATCTTCATCGCATTTAGCAAGCTCATTTCCAGCTTCTGAAATGCAACCCTTCAGAGGCTGTGGGCAGGCCTGGAGGGGGTTATTCAAGCCCAAGGATGCAGCACTCTGCACATGGCTAGGAGCTCCTCACCACACTGAGCTCACAGGCCTGGCTCTGACTCAGAGTCACATCGCAGCACCTTGAACAAATATTGCTTTGATACCACTTTAACTGTTGCAGAGTCCTGCAAAGACTCCTGGTTTTTTTGAGGGGGGGTGATGAGGATCCCTGGCATGTTGAGGGGGTAATTACAGACCCTCCAAATGTCCCTATTTTCCAGGGACAGTCCCGGATTTACAGAAGCCATCCCAGTTTCTGATTTGATCCTGAAATGTCCTGTTTTTCCTTAAAGGTAAAGGTAAGGGGACCCCTGACCATTAGGTCCAGTCGCAGATGACTCTGGGGTTGCGGCGCTCATCTCGCTTTATTGGCCGAGGGAGCCGGCATACAGCTTCTGGGTCATATGGCCAGCATGACTAAGCCGCTTCTGGTGAACCAGAGCAGTGCACGGAAACGCCATTTACCTTCCCGCCGGAGCGGTACCTATTTATCTACTTGCACTTTGACGTGCTTTCGAACTGCTAGGTTGGCAGGAGCAGGGTCCAAGCAATGGGAGCTCACCCTGTCGCGGGGATTCAAACCGCCGACCTTCTGATCAGCAAGCCCTAGGCTCTGTGGTTTAACCCACAGCGCCACCCGCGTCCCTTTTTTTCCTTAGGACATCCCTATTCTCATCAAAGAAATGTTGGGAGGGAGATGTCTCTACATTCACTGGAGAAATGTCGGAAGGTACGGAATGGGATGTCCCTATTTTCTTCAGAGAAAAGTTGGAGGATATGTGATTGTGAGGAATGGCTCACCTGCCTCTCCATCCCTCACCTGGAGAAAAGCTTTAATGATGAGTGACACAACCTTACACATGCTTACTCAAAAGTAGGTCTCTTCAAGTCCCATGGGACTAATTCTCAGGTAAGTGGGCATAGGGGACGCGGGTGGCGCCACAGAGCCTAGGGCTTGCTGATTAGAAGGTTGGCGGTTCGAAAGCACAAAGTGCAAGTGGATAAATAGGTACCGCTCCGGCGGGAAGGTAAACGGCGTTTCTGTGCGCTGCTCTGGTTCGCCAGAAGCGGCTTAGTCATGCTGGCCACATGACCTGGAAGCTGTACGCCGGCTTCCTCGGCCGGTAAAGCGAGATGAGCGCTGCAACCCCAGAATCGGCCATGACTGGACCTAACGGTCAGGGGTCCCTTTACCTTTACCTATTAAAAACAAAGCGTGTGTTGATTTTCTCTGAAAATTCTGAGGCCTCTTATTTTTATCCACACCGAAATGTCCCTTAATGTCATCCAAATCGGGGGAAAGACCTCCTCCCCAGTGAATGGGCAGAGAGCGTTTTCTTTCGCTCCTTTTAACCTGATGAAAAGTGTTCTTTTCAAATGCCTGGGTCGAAGCTTTTCAACTGGCCTCCAGCACACCCTACTGATGCTTTTTTGGGGCGCGATCTCTGTTTGTACAGGCTGGTCTGCCCTTTCTGTTTTGTTCCTTTTAAAAGGTCCACCTGGATTTGGAAAGACAGCGAGAGCGAGGAAAGCCCAGCCGTCCCTCTCCTCCGGCCCTGGGAAAGGTTACGGAGCACCAATGACCTTTGACTCTATGGGGCCCGCCCCAGATGCCTTTCCCCGCCGCAAGGGCACGGCGGCTAAGTGGGTGGGATGCTTTGGCTCCGGGTTAAAAGCTTCCGCTGGCTTGTATATTCCACTCCGTCCATCTGCCTCTCATTTTTCCTTCTCTGAGCGGATGGCGGAAATCGCTTTGGAAATACCTGTCTGGGGTCAGGGCTGTGCCAAAGGTTTACTGGCACAAGCAAGACTGGCGCCAGAATCTGGCATCCTTGTGCATTTGTTGTTGGAGACCTCGCACTCTGTGCCCTGGCGGTTCCTTTCGCCTCCCAGTCTCCCCACCAGCAAGCAGTGCTGGGAATCCCAAGCCTCTAGCTGCCATTTTAATTTCCCAGAATGCCCTGGACTTAGCCACGTTCCAGGGCATTGTGGGATATTTAAATGGTGGGTAGGTGCCCCTCTACCCACTGCCGCCAGGTAGGAGTGCCAGGGCCCATGGACAAAAAGCACCAAGGGAGAAGCCCTAATCCTCTGGCACAATGGCTTAGTTGTGTCTGGCTGTTAACCAGAAGGTTGGTGGTTCAAGTCCACCCAGGGATGGCTGTGGGCAGGACTCCTGCACTGCAGAGGGTTGGACTGGATAACTCTTGGGGACCCTTCCAACTCGTATGATTCTACTTCAGTTGAGACAAAGCACCCTTAAACTTTGAGCCGGTCCTGAGGAAGAACGGAGACAAGTTCTTCGGCACCACTTCCGAAAAGAAGGACATGCTTCTTGTAGATTTCACTTCTCAAGCCGAAAGCCAAATTCTGCCATCTGTGCTTTGTATTAATTTACTCTGCAAGTGTTGGTCTTCCACCACGGTGGCCACTTAACGCATTGCCAAAAAGAGATTTGTATTTTTTAAAAAAGGCTAAAAGAGATTTGCATAATTTTTATGCATAGCTGAAAATTTAGAAATACTCTAATTTATAAACAGAAATGGAAGCAGTCTGGGTGCCCATTTGGCTTGCTGTCCTAGATTAGGGTTCCTCCTCCTCCTCCTCCTCCTCCTCCTCCTCCTCCTCCTCCTTCTTCTTCTTCTTCTTCTTCTTCCACCTTTATTGTCCAAGGATCTCAAGGTGGTGTACATGGTTCTCGTCCCTCATTTCACCTTCGCAACAACCCTGTGAGGTAGGTTAGACTGAGAGATGGAGATTGGCCCAAGCTTACCCAGTGAGCATCATGGCTGAGTGGGGGATTCGAACCCTGTAACAATAACCATTGCAGCGACAACCTTTGGAAGAGAGGACTGCCTTCTGCAAAAATGGCTGCCCTAAGAGGGTCATGGTTCTTGGCTCAAGGAGATATGCAGGAGGGGAAAGATGTTGTCCTCCAAAAGGTTATCAACGGCTCAAAACATACCAGGGCAGCTGGAAGGTGCATGAGGAACAGCGCACAGAGTTAAATTCTGGAACTCACTGCCACCAGTCAGCAATAGCCACCAAGTTGGATGGCTTTAAAAGAACATTAGGCAAATTCATGGAGGGGGAAGGGTATCAGTGGCTGTGCTCTCATGGATGGAGGCAGTAACACTTCTGCTGGAGATCGCAGGAGAGAGGAGAGTGATCCTGTGTTCGAGTCCTGTTTTCTGGTTTCCCAGGTGAGCCATTGGCCCAATCTGGTAGGGCATTTGCTTAAGGCTGCAATCCTATGACCACTTAAAGGTAAAGGTAAAGGGACCCCTGACTGTTAGGTCCAGTCGTGGCCGACTCTGGGGTTGAGGCGCTCATCTCGCTTTACTGGCCGAGGGAGCCGGCGTACAGCTTCCAGGGCATGTGGCCAGCATAACTAAGCCGCTTCTGGAGAACCAGAGCAGCACATGGAAACGCCGTTTACCTTCCCGCCGGAGTGGTACCTATTAATCTACTTGCACTTTGACGTGCTTTCGAACTGCTAGGTTGGCAGGAGCAGGTACCGAGTGACGGGAGCTCACCCCATGGCGGGGATTCGAACCGCCAACCTTCTGATCAGCAAGCCCTAGGCTCTGTGGTTTAACCCACAACACCACCCGCATCCCTTTTTGTTTTCAATACCAGGGCTTTAAAGAGCTGCAGGTGGCTAGCATCCTCTTTGTAGAATCATAGAGTTGGAAGGGACCTCAAGTCCAACCCTCTGCAATGCTGGAATCCTCTTGGTAAAAGAGGACTGAGAGGGCACCCAATTGCCACATCAAATTATTATTATTTATTATTATTATTAGCTGCTTTGCTCATAAAAATGACTTGAAGCAACTTGCAAGCACAGCAGAAATCAGTTTCAGTGGTACCTCGGGTTAAGTACTTAATTTGCTCCGGAGGTCCGTACTTAACCTGAAACTGTTCTTAACCTGAAGCACCACTTTAGCTAATGGGGCCTCCTGCTGCTGCCGCACCGCCAAAGCACAATTTCTGTTCTCATCCTGAAGCAAAGTTCTTAACCTGAAGCACTTTTTCTGGGTTAGCGGAGTCTGTAACCTGAAGCGTATGTAACCTGAAGCGTGTGTAACCTGAGGTACCACTGTACAATGAACAGAATCAATGGAAACCTCAACAAGCAAACACATGGATACAAGTAAAAGGCAGGTCTAGCAGATCCTGTCCCACCAAAACAAGTTATTATGGGTTACATTCGATTCTCGCGAGAGAGGGGATGTCAACAGAAGCAGCCGCGCCCATAAACGCTGGGAAATCTATCCTGGCACAGACCCAGCCTGTCGCTTGAGCCACAATGTGCTGGGAAGGGGGTGTTCCTTAGCCTCGGGACCTGTTTCAAATAGCAGCTCCCCAGCACGGAATACTTAAACGGCTACTCATATAGAGAAGAGTACCTCTGAACACGTGCAGAGTGTCTCTTCCCTATCCGGCAGGCCAGGCATGAGCGTCAACCCTCTTTTTGGAAAACAAGCAGGACCACACCCGACACCAGATCTGGATCTGGTAGAGGCAGAGAGCAAAGATCGCTTCAGGTTAGGAGCGGATCCACGCCCTGTATTTTTCACCCTTTCAAGACAGAATCTGAAAGGGAGAGCGGGTGGGTGGGGAGCCAAGAAGGCGTTTCCCCCTCCCCTAGCAACCGTCTGCAGCTCTCGACTTTGAAAACAAGGGTTGCCACATCTTTGCAGGTTCTTCTGCTGTTAAGAACAGCTTGGAGAGACAACTTGGCCAGGGTGCAACTTTTGCCCTCTCTGTGTTTCTGTGAGGGGAGAAGTTGCACGTGACAGAATTCCCCCTTTCAACATATAATCTCAAAAGGGACAGGAGTCTTCCCAGGTCCTGGGGGTCCAGACGCTAGGACCAACCCTATCCTTTACGACACGATAATCTTTATTGTCATTGTCCCGTACAGAACAACGAAATTGAAATTTTCAAAATTGAAACTTTCCCACCTCCCGCAGGCTTTTGGGGGTGAAGGGCAAGAAACAGGGTTCCCTCTACGCAGAATCTTCCCCCCATTTCCCACCGGGCTAATATAATCAGAGACCTAATTAATTAGAACGAGGAAATGGAACGAACACACAAACACACACACACCTATCTCTGTGTCTTTGGCATCGTAGGCAGCCGGATAAAAGCTCCGGAAATCAATAAATCACTAGGCAGGCAGTTTGTACAGGAGCTGCCTTGCCCAGTTGATTGGCCAAGTGAGATATTGCATCTGCCTCAGTTCCCCCAGGGGAAAAGAGAGTCTAAGCAAAGTCCATCTGGCTCTCCTCTCCCCTGGCTCTCTGCTGTTCCCTCCCCCTCGGCCCCTCGCCAAGAGCACCTGGGTCCCACGCCAGCAAAAGAAACTGGCTCCGATTTCAGAGGTTAACACCCCACCCTCCAAAATATCGCCACCCTTCAAAGGGAGATTTTTGTGGGGTGAATGGAAATGGTTTGCAATCGGATAGACTTAAGACAGCAGGAGGAGGGGAGAGTATGCAAGCTTCTGGGTTTCACAGAGCTCTGCGCCATCCCTGACGCAATGTGCCAAAACGTTCTGTGAAACGCTAAAGCTTGCACACCGGCTTCAGTTAATCCAGGCATTTCTCTCTTTGTCTGCACCTTTTCCTATGCTTTAGGTTGTGAAGTCAGAGCAGTGCCTGGAATGAGTTTGTGCCCCTTCGCTGTCAAGGAAAAATGGCTGACAAGACGCCTGGTTGTATTCTCAGCTCCGGAAGGGGAATGTTACCTAGTGAGGAGAATGACAGGGAACCGGGCTTCAGATTTCAGGGCCCAAAACTGAGAGCTGGGGGCGGCCCCTGGTGATGTCACGATGGGAGGCCCTGGCGACAGAAGTTAATTGGGAGAAGGGAGCAGAGGGGGAACATTCCTCAGAGCATCTATGCGATAATTTGCAGCCAGCTCCAGCTAGGCTGAAGCTTGTAAACCGTATGCACAGTCTTCTTAATTTTAAAAAAATTATTATTATTATTATTATTATTATTATTATTATTATTATTATATCCCACATTTTCCTAGACTCAAGGCGGCTCACACAAATCAAAACAACGAAACACAGAAGGCTAACTACATACAGAAGGCAATAGTTGAAAAGCAATTGAACTATATCAGAATTAAAACATTTCTGTTTAGAAGACAAATAGTGAAAACAGCGCAGAACTATTTAAATTGAAGCCACTCGCCCACCTGGAAGGGAGAGCAGGCAGACTTCAGGTCAGGCCTGAAGATCTGGCACCCTAGCGAAGTGAAGAGTGCCCCTGAGCATGTGCAGAATGCCATTCCCCCCATCACCACTGAGCCAGGGCATCTGAGTCAGAGGGCTGCATCTGCCAGCTTCCTTAAGCTCCGGCGCTTATTTCCCTCCCTGCCCCCTGAGGAATTCGCAAGCTCCCTTCCTAGTGGCACACACACCTGCCTGCCACCCACCCACCAAGAAAAGGATCCCAAATCCACCTTACCGGCCAGGCAAAATCAAACGGGATCACCACCCTGCCGGCGTGATCACTCTTCTTCTGGTGACCGGTGGAGAAGACATTGCCCCCTAGGACGGGTGTGGTGGCAGCCCCCAGCACGCAGGGCCCCCCGGGCAGAGCCCGCAGCTGGTATTCCTTGAGGCAGACCCGGAAGAAGGCGTGGCATTGCTGCGCCACGGGGCACGGCGGATCCAGGCCCCCGCGGCAGCACCGCCCGTCAGCCAGCACCCCTTTCTCGTTGCGGGCGAAGCGGATCTGCAACTCGAAGGTTCCTGCCGCCTCGGAGACCTGGAAGGGGCAGAGAAGACCGAGAGGAGAGATTGGGACGGTTGACCTACAGAACTCATTGCTACAGGAGGCGGCGGCGGCCCCCAATTTGGGCAGCTTTGAAAGAGGGTGGTAGACAAATCCATCGAGACACCTGGCCTTCAAGGCTGGAGGCAACAATGTTTCTCAAGGCCTGTTGCTGGAAACAGCAGGAGGGGAGAGAGAGGGGTCTTGTGTTCGAATCCTGGCGTCTGGTTTCCCACAGGCGTCTGGTTGGCCCCTGTGAGAACAGGATGCTGAGCTAAAAGGGCCATTGGCCTGATCCTGCAAACTCTTCCTGTGTTCTTATGAAAGAGGCACATTTGTCATTAAAAAAAAAAAAGATTTTATTGAAGTAATCAAATGAATCAATAAAATAAAAAATTGAAAGTACAAAAAATCAGCACAGTATATCTGGGGGAGACTTAATATGAGGCTGCGAAAGTACTCAAGGCCGTTAAAACCAAATTTCATCCTGTACTGTCCACCACTCAGCCAATGCTAAACTCCAACCAAAAACTGGCATCCGAATCTGTCCTCCTGGTCTGACAGTGATTTCGGATTTCAGTGATTTCAGACCCAAAAGATCGGCCGCATCCAGAGTTCTGATGCTGTCAACAGCAGCAAGTCCAAATGCCTCTGGGTGTTCACGGGCAGGCAAAATATTTTTCGTTTTCATGTTCTGAAAGGTGCTGCCCTTCTCCCCCAGCTCCACCCACATCCCAAGTTGTCTGGACTTCTTGGGGGTTTTCACATGCACACACACACACAAAGCAGAAATTATGCCCCTAGATCTGGCTATCCTGGCTCAGGATCAAGGCTGGCTGTGAATCAGAGCCGGGCCCCAGAAACTGTTCCATAGATTCACAGAAATGTATAGTTGGAAGGGACAAAGAGGGTCATCTAATCCAACTCCCTGCATTGCAATATTTCGCCCAACACGGGACTCGAACCCACAGCCCCGAGATTAAGAGCCTTATGCTCTACCGACTGAGCTATCCAGTCTCGAGTGCCAAGGCTTGATTGTTAAGCTACGCATAATCACGGAAATGGTGTCTCTGAGCATATGTGGAGTGCATCTCCTTATGAACAGCCACCCAAACAGCTATGGCTGTGCGGTCCCTGAGCACGTGCAGAGAGGTGCTCCTTTGCTGGAGAGAAGCCCGCCCAGGTGTTCCAATCACAGTGTCACAAACCTCACATGCGGCAGAAATTTCCAAGCTTGCCCTTGTGGCCTGTTCCCTGGCAAAGGAACATCTGCGCATGCTCAGGGGAACCCACTAAAAAGAAAGAGCTTGCAGAGAAACCTCAGTCTCAGACTGGGAACACCAGGTGCACATCTTTGGCTGTGGATAGATAGGGAAACGAACTCTGCACATGTTCAGAGGCACCCTTTCCATTATTGCACACGTCACACTGCGAGGTCAAAGCAGGTCCATCAGGTTGGGTGGGCCCCGACCCCAGGCCAAGGTAACCAGGTCTGGGGGCATGATTTCTACTCAGGGAGGGGCAAGAGCCCCCCCAGAATTTAACGCCCAACCCCGAAATCCCCACTTACGAAACTGCTACTAAGAATTAATGTATTTTGGTTGGAAGGGAGAGTGTTGCCCGCTGGGGGCAGGGGGTCAAAATGCCCCCCACCTCCTTCCCCGCTCGTAGCTGGGGAGGCCGGATCCGTTCCTTGCCCTCCCCAATGAGGAAATCCATCTTCCCTAGGGGGACGCTGGGCGTTACTGGAATCACAGCAGGCAGGATTTCACCTCTGCCCCTCTCTCCTGCAGAGGGCCCTACGGGCAGGGAGGCTCCTCAATTTGTGCTTTGTGCCCGCCAGATGTGGAGCCACAGGGATGCCAAATGCCACCAGCGGGAGGGGGGCTGCTGCCCACCCTCCCACCCACCTGGTCCAGCCCACCCGGCCCTTGCCAGCTCCCCACAGGACTCTGCGGCCTCCGGAACATTTGCAGCGGCAAGAAAGGAAGCTTTTCTCTCAAAAACACACACACATACAGACGCACCAACCCTGCCAGCCTTTTGTTTCGTGTCTGAACAAGGAAATCGAACCCGAGCCAGCAGCAGGCGCCCCAGGTGCGAAATCCACGGAGCACCCTGCCTCCTTGCCAAGCACCACGGGACCCAATCCACCAGGAAATTCCCATTCTGCCGAAATGAAACAGGAGGCACGCAAGTGCTCTTGCACAACGGGAGGTGGGCCCAGGGAGACAGTGGGGTGCAGTGGTTAGAGCAGGGGTAGGCAACCTAAGGCCAGGGGGCTGGGTGAGGCCCATTCACCTTCTAAATCTGGCCCGCAGACGGTCCGGGAATCAGCGTGTTTTTACATGAGTAGAAGGTGTGCTTTTATTTTAAATGCATCTCTGAGTTATTTGTGGGGCATAGGAATTCGTTCATTTCCCCCCAAAAAATATAGTCCGGCCCCCCACATGGTCTGAGGGACAGTGGACCGGCCCATGGCTGAAAAAGGAGGAGAGGAAGGGTAGAAAGCAAACTGCCTGGGATAACTCAATTGAGAGAGACTCTTAATCTCCGGGTTGTGGGTTCGAGTCCCACATTAGGCAAAATATTCCTGCATTGCAGGGGGTTGGACTAGATGACCCCAGAATCCCTTTCAACTCTACAGTTCTAGGAAACAAAATCTGGTTGGACTAAGGATGTTGGACTAGACAGCCCTTTGTCCTGATCCAACTATAGGCTCCCCTAGATGATATTAGGGGCTCCCACACGGTCCACTTTCCATGAGGCTTCTACAGAAGACTTTGATCAAGGATCGGGGCCCTCAGATCTGCCTCTTAATGGCGCCCAAACCTCACAGCCTGAAAAGACTCGGCCGGCTGTGCCTCCCTAACCCGCTCTGACTTCTGAGATGCTGCCAGTCGTGGGGCGAGCTTGACTCAAAGCTGCCTCTGGGATGGGGTGACTGCTTCCCTCCCAGCCCAGAGATGCAGCTGACTCTGGGGTGGAGCAGAGCAGCTGCCCAACTGCCACACAGCACAGCAGCAGTCGAACCAAAAGCAAAATCGCATGCCCTCTTCTCACCCCTGGTTGGTGGCAGCGGGGAAAACACGGGGAGGTCGCAGGGGCTTCCTCCTACAAGTTCCTTGGAAGTGAGCGGGGAGGGGGGTTCAGATAGGACCCTCTAGGATCCTGCAAACAAATGTCCCAACTGCAAACGGAAGCCCAGTACAGCAGGGTCTGATCCAGTGCCAGAGCTACCCCAGGGGATGAGGCTGGTTCAACACTAAAGAGATGCATCCACACCTAACCAGTTTAACCAGGTTCCTTCCTGAACTGGGAACTGGGGGAACTGTAGTTCTGTGACGGAAGGGGGGCCTGGGAAAATCTCTAATAACAGAGCAATCCAGATGCCTCGTCAAACTACAAATCCCTGCCTTTTTTTTTGGAGGGGGAGGCAGAAAGTTGTTGCTCAACCGGTATATCAAGCAAACTGAGAGAACGATCCGGCGCATGGTGCTTTCACTGGCGCTTACTCCCTGAAGTCGGTGTGTCACCAGATGCCCCAAAGATGGTGGCATGTTGACTCAGGCAAGGGAGCACCCCCCTATGATCACAGATCTCTCCCCCAGTCTGTTCCCCGCTCTCCTGAAAAAACATCCCCTGCCCGCCTCTCTCAACCCGATTCAGCAGCTTCTGGGGCAAAGACACATAACCAGCTCATGATCCAACCAAGCAGGCGCTGGAGCGAGTGTGGAGGTGCAGACATGCTCTCCACATGGCGCATTGATGCTCCCCGCCTTGTGGCTGGCCAGCAAGACACCACGCCTAGCTCTCAAAGGGATTGCGCCGTCCAGTTCTCTCTCTGGACAGGGTGCGATGCGCAGAGACGAGAGCGCAAAGGGTTCTCAGAGGTTGGCAAGGGCAAGGTGGCACCTGGAGGCGGTTGAGAGCCCGGAGACGGGTGCAAAGCAGCCTGACGCTCAGCGGTGCCCACACCCAGCCAAAGAGCCCGGGTGCCATGGTGCCTCTCTCCAAATGCCACCCCATAGAGAATGCTAGGCACCCCTACCACCCAAAACCTGAAGCTCTCAACTTGGGGCAAACAGAGGCTTGGGCATGCCTGGGCAAAGTTGGCACCTGCCTCTCCCAGCGTGGGGTTGGTGCACCCATTTCAAGCGCCCACCCCACCCGCGAGTGTTGGAGAGGCGTGCGTGGGTGCCCCCATCGGGCACCTCCCGGGCACCCAGCAAAAGGGTTTGGGTGGGCGTCCGAGAAGCGGGGGTCTCACCTGGGGCCTCGCGCAGCAGAGGAGGAAGACGAAGGTGCACAGCACGTCGCCAGGGGTCCTCCGCCGTCTCATTGTGCTGGCGGCGGTGGGTGGCGGGCAGCCCCCTGCCCCTCGGCCGCGGCGCCCCGGCAATGGGAGCCCCTGGCCGGTCGCCCAGCGCGGGGCATCCAGGACTCGCTGCCCAGGCCACGCCGCCGACGGTGCCCAACCTCCCGGGAGCGCAGCTCCGATTCGGATCGGGAAGCGGAGCCAGAGCCGTCGCTGCTGCTGCCGCTGCCGAAGACGCCCGGCTGCGCTCTGGCTGCGCTGGGCAGGGCCGCCTGACATCACGCGCGCCGGGGTGGAGCCTCGTCGCCCGGCCACTTTCCCAGGCAAGGGGGCGGCGGCCGCGGCGGCAGAAGCAGCATCGTTTCCCGACCCTCCGGGGCAGGGAGGGGGCGGCACCGGGACCGGCCAGGAGGAGCAACCGGTTCCTTCGCGGTGCGCGGGGATCTTTGCGCCCAGGGCGCGCCAGCCGGAGGAACGCTGCGTCTCCTCCTCCTGGCGAGGGATGGAGCGCGCGGACTCGGGCCGGCAGCGCGCCCCTGGGTGCCTGCACGGGCCGGCAGCAGCAGCGGCAGCAGCTCCTCTCCGGGGTTTCCGGCGAGGGGCTGCCCCAGCCCTGCGCGCACACAGCTGCAACCCTTCCTACAAAACGAAAATCTAAGGCGCTAGTTCTCGTGGTTAAGAAGAAACGCGCGCGGGGCCGGTTTGCGTTCAGGAAGCGCGGCCGGGGCGGCTGCGTCTCTTCTTCCTCCTCCTGGATGGACCGGCGACCCAGCCAGCCACGTGATGCCTGCACTGGTCGGCAGCAGCAGCGGCAGCTCCTCTCCGGGGTTTCAGGCAAGGGACGTCCCCAGCCCTGCGTGCACATGGCCTGATCAGGGATTGGGGTTTCCCGCGTGCCCGGCAGACGCGCTTGCCACAGAGCTGCTTCCCTTTCTTGCAAAAGGAGAAGCTAAGGCGCTAGTCCTCGTGGTTAGGAAGAAAGGGTGCGTTTGAGTAGGTGGGTGGCTGCCTTCTGCCAAGTCATCGAATGATGCATTTGGACAGTTGGGAAGCTCCAAAGGCGAAGGAGGGCAGCTGCCCCGCCCCCAAATCAAATGAATAAATAAAAATACTTAACTATCCGACCAAACGCGTCGTAGATAGCTCGGTTCAGACCTCCCCAGCATAGATCCTGTCTCCCTACTCTGCCAACATACCGTAAATCATGGCTACGCCCATGGTTGGAAGGGACCCGATCGTCATCTAGAAGAAGAAGAGTTTGGATTTGATATCCCGCTTTATCACTCCCCGAACAAGTCTCAAAGCGGCTCACATTCTCCTTTCCCTTCCTCCCCCACAACAAACACTCTGTGAGGTGAGTGGGGCTGAGAGACTTCAGAGAAGTGTGACTGGCCCAAGGTCACCCAGCAGCTGCACGTGGAGGAGCGGAGACGCGAACCCGGTTCCCCAGATTACGAGACTACCGCTCTTAACCACTACACCACACTGGCTCTTGCGCAACCCCCCCCCCCCCGCAATGCAAGACTCTTTTGCCAAACTGGAGGCTTGAACCCACGGCCCTGAGATTAAGAGTCTGGTGCTCTACCCACTGGGCCATCCCACCTGCGGCGGCGGTGGGGGGTGGGATCCACTGGGGGCCCTCCTGCCGCATTCTATTGGGTGGTCCCAGCCCCTTCCAGTGCTTCTCCACTGTGGGACTGCGCCTCCCATCCTCGCTAACTAGCAGGACCAGCGGTCAGGGATGATGGGAATTGTAGTCCAGCAACAGTCAGCTGGGGAGCCAAGAAGTGCTGCAGTTAAAGACTCTTCAGCTAGCCCAGCCCAACTGGCTATTGCAAGATCCCCCCCCCCGCTCCCATCAGCCCCTGCGGCAGCCCTCAGGGCTAGTGGTCAGGGCTGGTGAATGTCCAACAATGTCCAAAGTGACTCAGTTGGCTCCACCTGGGTGGAAGGCAGCAGGGAAACTGGGGCTGCAGCTGGCCAAGGTCCAGGGTGGATGAGGGGAGTGGCTGCTGCAACATCTGGAAGGCTACACTTGCCGTATTTTGACTCATGGAAAGAGGTCCCCTGTGGAATAAGGGGCTGTGTTTGCCAAAACCTCACGACAGCGGCTTTTGTGAGATCCTGGAAGGAAGAGAAAGCTCTTTCAATTTATATATATATATATATATATACACACACACACACACACACAGTGGTACCTCAGGTTACATACGCTTCAGGTTACACACTCTGCTAACCCAGAAATAGTGCTTCAGGTTAAGAACTTTGCTTCACGATAAGAACAGAAATTGGGCTCCAGCGGCGCAGCAGCAGCAGGAGGCCCCATTAGCTAAAGTGGTGCTTCAGGTTAAGAACAGTTTCAGGTTAAGAACGGATCTCCGGAACAAATTACCGTAAGTACTTAACCTGAGGTACCACTGTATATATATATATATATATATATGGACACGGGTGGCGCTGTGGTCTAAACCACTGAGCCCAGGGCTTGCCGATCGGAAGGTTGGCGGTTCAAATCCCCGTGACGGGGTGAGCTCCTGTTGCTTGGTCCCTGCTCCTGCCAACCTGCCGGCGGGAAGGTAAACGGCGTTTCTGTGTGCTGCTCTGGTTCGCCAGAAGCGGCTTAGTCATGCTGGCCACATGACCCGGAAGCTGGACGCCGGCTCCCTCGGCCAATAAAGCGAGATGAGCGCCGCAACCCCAGAGTCGGCCACGACTGGACCTAATGGTCAGGGGTCCCTTTACCTTTACCTTTTATATATATATATATATATATATATATATATATATATATATGAATATGACGGAGCCACAAAACTGGCCACTCTCCTCTTTTTTAAATGGAGTACAATTAAAGAGAGAAACACTTTGCTTTTAACCTAGAAGCCAGTGTGGTGTAGTGGTTAAGAGCGGTGGCCTTGTAATCTGGGGAACCGGGTTCGCGTCTCCGCTCCTCCACATGCAGCTGCTGGGTGACCTTGGGCCAGTCACACTTCTTTGAAGTCTCTCAGCCCCACTCACCTCACAGAGTGTTTGTTGTGGGGGAGGAAGGGAAAGAAGAATGTTAGCTGCTTTGAGACTCCTTAAAGGGAGTGAAAGGCGGGATATCAAATCCAAAGTCTTCTTCTTTTTCTTATAGAAAGTGGTACTGCACGGTGGTCTCCCTGCTTGGGGGTCTTCAAGCAGTTGGTGTGGCAGCCGCCTGCTGAGAAGGCTCAAGGTGTGGCTTGCTTGCTCTGAGGAACGTAAGAACAGCATCCTCTTCTCACAGTGGCCAACTGGCTGCCCTGAATGGGAAACCTGCATGCAGGATTCGAACCCACTCCCCTTCTGTGGTTTCCAGTGGAGAGACAGAACCATCTGGCGGCAGCTGGAGGATGGATGGCAGCTAACAGATTGAGGTTAAATCCTGACAAGACAGAAGTACTGTTTTGGGGGGACAGGAGGCGGGCGGGTGTGGAGGACTCCCAGGTCCTGAATGGGGTAACTGTGCCCCTGAAGGACCAGGTGCGCAGCCTGGGAGTCATTTTGGATGCACAGCTGTCTATGGAGGCGCAGGTCAAATCTGTGTCCAGGGCAGCTGTCCCCCAGCTCCACCTGGTATGCAGGCTGAGACCCTACCTGCCTGCAGACTGTCTCGCCAGAGTGGTGCATGCTCTGGTTATCTCTCGCTTGGACTACTGCAATGCGCTCTACGTGGGGCTACCTTTGAAGGTGACCCGGAAACTGCAATTAATCCAGAATGTGGCAGCTAGACTGGTGACTGGGAGCGGCCGCCTGGATCATATAACACCGTCCTGAAAGATCCGCATTGGCTCCCTTATTTATTCAGATGCATATGCTGCCATAAAAGGCACAGCCACTTGTGCTGGTTGGAAAAATGGCAACCCTTGGGAATGTAAGAAAGTAAAAAAACTTCTGGGAAATGATATATAATGAGATGAAAAAGATGTTGAAATATACATTTTTTAAAAAAGCCAGCAGCATTTTTACTTGGTATTATAGGTGACATTAATAGGCAAGATGTTAAATTGTTTTTATATGCAACTACAGCGGCAGGAGTATTGTTAGCCCAGAAATAGAAGCAAGAAGAAATTCCGACGAAAGAAGAATGGCAGACAAAATTAATGGACTACGCAGAATTAGATAAAACGATAGGAAGGATTCGAAACCTGCGGGACCAGAGATTCACAGAAGATTGGGAAAAGTATACAAATTATTTGAAGAGCAACTGTAATCAACAAATTACGCTGGTAGGACTACAATAAATTTTGTAAGGAGAAATATATGAAACATTACAAAGTAGAGAATGAATAGAGATATTAGTTATGAGACTTAAATGTAATAGTGGAAGTAAGAAATGTAAATTAAGTGAAGAGATTGGAAAATTTTCAGATGTGATTGATGGAAGTCAAAAAAATTGTATAAGATATAAAAGTATGTTTAATTATTGTTGAAAATGATATGTTAAAAAACTAATAAAATTTATATATATATATAAGAAAGGAAAATTTTCAACCCTATTTAAAACTGAACCCTTTCTCTCCCCAGCCCACAGCATTTTGCATGTTACTAAGAAGTACTGCTATGTTTAATTGGTCCTGGTAACAGGAATATGGGTAGAGGATCATCTTGGACTCCGTTTATCCGATATACCTCCAGCACATCCAGGAAGAAATTAATCCGGCCGTTGCCAGATTGCTTGGACAATTCCAAGAACTTTGCCTTCTGTCCAGTGGAGAAAAATCAGTGAGAGCTATGAAATTTGCTTTGGCCACACAGACACTGAAAATATCATTCATGGCAGCAAATGCCACCAACTGTCAGACAGCACACATTAAGATATACCTTTAAATATATGGGCTGCCAACCTGCACCCTGTTTGCTGACGTGTTTTGTTTTTGTTTTACTTTGGGCGCAGTTTAATTCCCGATTTTATCTGCTTGCGGGAATGACAAAGTCTTGGCATAGGCATATTCATTAAGCAATAAATCTTGGGCTGACTGATCTCCTTATCTATCCGTGTATGAATCTGCGCACACAGAGAGAGCACGGCGGTTGTTTCTCTGCGCCTTTCTTATTTATATGTTGCCGTGAATGCATCAGCCGCTTCACAAAGCTATACAAGCCAAAAGACCTTTGCAATTTTGATTGTTGGAAGCGTGGGAGAACACAAAGGGCAAGGAGAAGCTGGCTTTTCGTATCCTGGTTGTGAAATGCTGTTTCTGCATCTCACCTAAGTCACGGGTATCACTTCTTTTAATCCACTATTGAACCTTACGTCCCATTTATTTGCATTAATAGCTCACCTTCTTCTCCGAAGAGCTCAAAGTGACGTACAAGTTTCTCCCAACTCTTCATTTAAGCCCAGCACAATTATCCTTCACGGCAGGTTAAGCTGAAAGGCAGTGATTGGCCCCTAATAATAATAATAATAATAATAATAATAATTTATTATTTATACCCCGCCCATTTGGCTGAGTTTCCCCAGGCACTCTGGGCGGCTTCCAATAGAGGGTTAAAAACAATACAGCATTAAATATTAAAAACTTCCCTAAACAGGGCTGCCTTCAGATGTCTTTTAAAGATAAGATTGCTACTTATTTCCTTCACATCTGAAGGGAGGGCGTTCCACATGGCAGGCGCCACTACCGAGAAGGCCCTCTGTCTGGTTCCCTGTAACCTCACTTCTCGTAATGAGGGAACCGCCAGAAGGCCCTCAGTGCTGGATCTCAGAGTCCGGGCTGAACGATGGGGTGGAGACGCTCCTTCAGGTATACTGGACCGAGGCCGTTTAGGGCTTTAAAGCTCAGCACCAACACTTTGAATTGTGCTCGGAAATGGACTGGGAGCCAATGCAGATCTCTCAGGACCGGTGTTATGTGGTCCTGGCAGCCACTCCCAGTCACCATTCTAGCTGCCGCATTCTGGATTAATTGCAGTTCCTGGGTCACCTTCAAAGGTAGCCCCACGTAGAGCGCGTTGCAGTAGTCCAAGCGTGAGATAACTAGAGCATGCACCACTCTGGCGAGACAGTCTGCAGGCAGATAGGGTCTCAGCCTGCGTACCAGATGGAGCTGGTAAACAGCTGCCCTGGACACAGAATTGACCTGTGCCTCCATGGACAGCTGCGAGTCCAGAATGAGGCACAGTTACCCCATTAAGGACCTGAGAGTCCTACACACACACACACACACACACACACACACACACACCTCTTGTCCCCCCAAAACAGTACTTCTGTCTTATCAGGATTCAACCTCAATCTGTTGGCCGCCATCCATCCAAAGTCACACCCAGTGAGTTTCATGGCCAAGTGGGGATTTGAACCCTGTTTTCTCCCAGGTCCTAGTCTGACACTCTAACCACCGCACCACACTGCTTCTTTAAATGAAACTCCCGGTGCCTCCTGTTTAATTCCTCTTGATGAAGAGCTCTGTGCTTCTCACAACCTTGCACACTTCACTGGCAGTGATCTGTGACCTCAGTAAAGTGCACTCCTGTATCTCTGCTCATTCTTTACTGATCTTTGACATACTGCCCACAGGTACCCCATCCCATGCGCATGAGCATCACTGCACAGGGTCGTCTTTAGCATATGTGCTGCCCG